GGATTAAGGCGCCCTGTAGTTACCAGTTGCGTTGCTTCTGGGAGTATGGGTTCGAGTCACTTCTGGGGTGTGAGTTTTCATTCATATATATATATATATATATATATATAGTTCAGGTATCGGAGAGTATAACGAAGAATGACCATGAGGACCACATTCTAAAAACATTATCTTGTGGAGGCTCAAACATCAATACTGTTGATCCTCTTTGACCGTCATCACTATCTTGCATCAATATCCAGGACCTCTCGCGGCAGATATCAATACACTCGTTCACAAAGTCAATACCCAGGCAACTGTTGTTTTGATTTATCCGTTATGTTAATGTATTCACCGCCAGGAGATAATGACATTGTTATGACTGAAAATATCTTTGTTTACCTTCAGTCTCAGACGGAAATAAAAGGAACCAGGGGGCCGGTGACCGGTTCCTGAAGTTCGGGTGAGGAAACCGGTTCCTAAAGACAGGATGGAAACTGGTTCCTACTGCTCGGAAGTTTGGGAAGGGAAGAGGACGAGAGATTTAATACAAAATTTTGAATGGGGACAAAATTGTAGTGGTGATCCAGTTCTCTGTACTTACGGGATTTGGCTGATTCCCTGTGGGTGGCAGCGCCACCTGGTTGTGCAATATTGAAGTCAATGTAGGTGTTAGCCAGGGTTGATACGCACGTGTAGTCCCACACCAACTGCTTGCCATTCTTCCAGGGGGTTCACTGTGTTACCATCTGGGCGACCTATAAGATATATATATATATATATATATATATGTCGTACCTAGTAGCCAGAACGCACTTCTCTGCCTACTATGCAAGGCCCGATTTGCCTAATAAGCCAAGTTTTCATGAATTAATTGTTTTTCGACTACCTAACCTACCTAACCTAACCTAACCTAACTTTTTCGGCTACCTAACCTAACCTAACCTATAAAGATAGGTTAGGTTAGGTTAGGTAGGGTTGGTTAGGTTCGGTCATATATCTACGTTAATTTTAACTCCAATAAAAAAAAATTGACCTCATACATAATGAAATGGGTAGCTTTATCATTTCATAAGAAAAAAATTAAAGAAAATATATTAATTCAGGAAAACTTGGCTTATTAGGTAAATCGGGCCTTGCATAGTAGGCCGAGAAGTGCGTTCTGGCTACTAGGTACGACATATATATATATATATATATATATATATATATATATATATATATATATATATATATATATATATATATATATATATATATATATATATATATATATGCATTTATTCTGTAGCTTGTGTTAATTGTTGCGCACTTGACAACTGGAGGCTGTCACAGTACTGTACACGGTACACAACAGCAAGACTGAGGAAAACATTGACAAGAGCTCCACTGAGAGACTCTCCTCCCTGAAGTCTTGCTCCTCTTGTTGTTTTGCCATTCACAGGACGGACTTTCCCACAACATTCTCCACCAAGCATGGCGGTAAACACTTCACTGACCCACCTGCTAATCACAATATTGTACTCTCCAGTTCCAATTCTGTGCTCCAACAGTCCTCAGCATATAAACGTCGTCATTTGTAGTCTCGCTGGGGGGAAAAATGAAAGTTTTTAGGGTCATTGAAGATAATGTGTAAAGAGAGAGAGAGACAGCGAGAGCTAGGAGTAAGAATGGAGACTGACACAGAGGAGGAAAGAAAATATTAAGGGTTCTGCGGTAAGTATTTGGGGATCTTGAGCGAGCGAGGCCCGTCAAGTGCCCGGCCACCTTGGCCTCATATGACGCTCGGGAGATTCGGTTTCTTGCTACAACGCTTCGAAATGCACTTACCTACTTGCAGCCCGTCCTCTAAACAAAGACATAAAGACCATTCCATGCACCCGCCAAACCCCTTGTTCATGAATGAGAAACGGTTTACACACGACTCACAACTGTTGGCGTTCGAACACTTCCGGAACAAGTTCTTCGCTGACGACTTTTGTTCGAACCACAACGCTGTAAATACTTCACCCACGTACTACAAATACAAATAATCGCCAACAGAACTTAAACATCTAACTTAACCTAACCTATGCCTATATATGCACAATATGCTAATATATTATATTATTAAAGTATTTTTGAGAACATTCCTATTTTGAATGAATAGCATGTTAAAATTGATGAATGCATCTTTGGGGTCGACCGCTGGATGGAATGGACTTGGTCCGAAGACGGGTTGCCTTCATGTCATATGCTGCTTGGAGACTCACTCGGTCTCTTGCCACGACACTCAAGTATTTTCGAGGGGCAGAAGGACTCGGTGACGAAGTTTTAATTTTCTGAAGACTAAGACCTTAGACCTTAGGGTTTGATTGACTTTCTTATTTTATTTTAAGAGGTAAATATTACACCGTATCACAGTTTGATCAGCCCGTTCTCTAGATTTGCCACTCCGTAAGAAATCCAACCTTCTAACCAAACCAGACACCTACGAACCATTCCTTCTGATGGTTCGTGCAGTCTGCTTAAAGGGTTTATCCTCCTGATTACTATACGATATTTTCTATATCACATAATACTGTATCTATATATCACACTATACTATATCACACTACTATCTATCTATATCACACAATTTTATGTCAATAATTATTACAATGATTGTTATCAATGTACAGCCAATGATGAATAACATATTTTATTTGAATATAAGAAGGCAGTTTAAACTGGGAAATTCGAAAAGATGTCTAAGTTTTAATAATTTTTAATCATTCGCCGAACAAACGCCGTCCACATGCTGCTGAGGGTCCCGGGAACCGCCGGCACTCGCTGACCTCTCACTGAACATTACAGTCGTATCAACTGAAATTTATCTAGCAATAAATGCGACTTGAGAGAAATAGCTGAACCAAATCCCGGCTTGTATACACCTCTCTCATACATGAGAACGCTGTTATTGCTGTTATTTAGATCAAACCTATCTTTCAGATTGCTTAACAATGTGTACCGCTGTTCTACTCTAATCCTTGCATGTTTCCGTTGTTACGAAGGAACCCGTTGCAACAGAAACGGTATAGTCAATCGACGTGCGTGCAACTGTTCCGTTCATTCCGGCAACAGAACCGAGAAACATAGCTGTCAACATCGATCACTTCCCCTTCCCTTAGTCACTCACTAGACCAAAAACTTGTGGCATTCTTCCCGTAAGCCGGTGACGTGGTGTTCAGACGTGTATATGACAGCGTCGAAACAGAGAGGCCAAAATTGAAACAAAAATGTCCCGTCGAGTTGTGTATAGGGAGGAGAGTGTGTGGTGGAGACAGTGGTTGTCTTAGCTAGTGATATATATATATATATATATATATATATATATATATATATATATATATATATATATATATATATATAGAAGAAGCAATTGATTTAAAATAAAATCATCATAGTTCCGATTAGTTTTAAATAAAATTACATCTCTGACAATGAAATTTAAATTTGAATTTGTGAAGAAAAACTAAAAAATGAGAGACAAACGAACATCATAGTTGACATGTTTATACTCGTACAGCGCTATGGGTTCACCCATTCGCCAGGAGACAAAACAAATGCTAGAGACAACAAGAAACAAATGCCTCATTCATAAACAATAGCTTGTTTTGACCTGTTTCCACTGCCTGGCAGCCCCGTTCTTTTGCACTATTGAGCACACATTTGCATACACAGTTGCTGGTGTTGCAGGTACACACACACACACACACACACACACACACACACACACACACACACACACACACACACACACACACACACACACACACACACACACACACCCACGAACTACAGTGAATTTATGAATTCTTGATTGTTTGATTGCAATAATCCCCCTTAACAGTATTGAATTTCCGCGTGAATAAATTACAGATTTTTCTACCTATTATTTATTCTACTAAATACCCATATATTTTCTTTACTAATTCTTTTCTAATATATTTTCTTTCATAATATATTTTACTATATAATTTATTTTCTTCAGACGCGTTGATATTTCAGCGAAACTGACAACCAATGGGAAGTATTTTACCAGGTTATCTGTAGTAATTATACCCCCAAGAAGCACTGAGGGACAGAATAACACCGTGTTATGGTACAAAATGTTCCAGTACTCTACTACAGATTATAACAAATGAGAACACATTCTGCTTCCGCGTCATGCTGTTGAATGTTGTCATATACACCTACATTCTTATCATTTGTATTCTATTAAATATCGGTTGAGTGCTGGTAATAGAGGTCTGAACTGTATGATGTAGAGTTGATAATAGAGGACTAGAATGTGTGTGACAAGGTAAGTTCTTACAGAGTGCCATGTGATAAGAATTATGATAGCAAACATAGATTGAATTTCCTAACACTTGTATGCATCTTCAATAATTGAAGATGTAACAGAGAGAGAGAGAGAGAGAGAGAGAGAGAGAGAGAGAGAGAGAGAGAGAGAGAGAGAGAGAGAGAGAGAGGGGGTAGAAGGTAATGAATAAGGTCAAAGCTAAATAACTTTGATGTGTTTGTTAGTGAACACAACCTTGATTAGCCGTCAGGCGGCAATACAGAAATATGCATCTGTTTTGTGCGTGTCAGTGTGCGTCAGTGCGCCAAGACGTGTGTGGCTATGTGCGCTAAAACATGTGCGTGCGCCAAGACATGTGCGTGCGCCAAGACATGTGCGTGCGTCTGCGTGTGTCAGTGCGCTGGAGATGCGCAAGTATGGGGGCGCTCTGGAAGGTCACGGGAAAGGTATACTCTTTCAGCGAAACAAGGCCATTTAAAGCACGTTAGTTTCGTCTGAGTGGCGGTATGCAGTACTTAACCTCATCTTCCGGGGCGCCGACCCCCCCAGGTACACCCCCCTCCCCCCAGCCTCGCTAATATATGGCCTGCACTTGCGTCTGCAACTTCTTCCTTCCTTTGCAGTTGCGTATATCTACCTTTCACAGGCTTCTACGTGGCTTAACATCTTATTTGTTCTTGACTTTCTGGCTTCTGTCATGCCTAAGGAAGTCGAGGACCGCGTGTGTGTTATAAAGACCTGTGGAAGTCAACATATGAGTCCCTACCAGTTGGGAAGAGGTGAGCAAGGGGAATCATTAAGCTCTCGATACAAGCTTCCCTCTCATCACTAAAGAATCTAATAAAAGATATCGAGTGAGGCTCGATAGCGCTTCGGTCTCACACGCATGAAGTCCTGGGTTCGAGTCCCATACAGCCCAGGTGAATGTAAAGCTAAAGAATCTATTTCCTAATGTGACGAATAAAGGCATCATTCTCTTTACGTAAAAGATAGCGTCCGACATCTCAACACTACCCCCCCCCCCTAAGGCCAGCGCTCCTTGGGGCACGAGGAAGCCATAACGTAAGCTGTAATCTCCTCTGATTGTTCCTGTCGACTGATAATTAATCAGCGGTGACGGTTCAAGGCAACAGCACTGCGCTACGAGACGGCTCTTGGGAAACAACTGTGGCACTAGCAAGACGTCGCTGCGATGTTCTCAATCTCTTCCGCTCACTCACGCTCTCTCGCTCGTTCATTCTTCCATATAACGAAAGAATGCTTGAGGCCTTGACAGGGATTAAGGCTGAGAGTTTCTACCGTTTGTTTTACACGCCAAGAGCTGTTTTAGTAGCCTGGGTCATTGCAAGCGTTGGTTTTATTATTCAGTGAATTACTAGGCGAGGGTTTTATTTAATGTCAAGCTGCACCCTTACTGGGTACAGGGTGGTCTACAAAGCCTAAGGACTACAGTTTCCAGGGCTACATGTGTCCAGGGCTACAGTTCCCAGGGCTACATGTGTCCAGGGCTACAAGTGCCCAGGGCTACAAGTACCCAGGGCTACAAGTGCCCAGGGTTACAAGTGCCCAGAGCTACAAGTGCCTAGGGCTACAAGTGCTCAGGGCTACAAGTGTCCAGGGCTACATGTGCCCAGGGCTACAAGTGCCCAGGACTACAAATGCCCAGGACTACAAGTGCCCAGGACTACAAGTGCCCAGGGCTACAAGTGCCCAGGACTACAAGTAGCCCAGGGTTACAAGTGCCCAGGGCTACAAGTAGCCCAGGGCTACAAGTGCCCAGGGCTACAAGTGCCTAGGGCTACAAGTACCCAGGGCTACAAGTGCCTAGGGCTACAAGTGTCCAGAGCTACAAGTGCCCAGGGCTACAAGTGCCCAGGGCTACAAGTGTCCAGGGCTACAAATGTTCATGACTAGATAAGAACAGGTCATTGTTAGGAAATGGAGTCAACCTCCCCCCCCCCCCCCCCTTCCACTCCCCAACCATCTCCACCACAATCACCTTACTAGCCTGTGATGGAAGCCTTGCGAGGCTGCAATTGCACTACAAAATCAACAATACATGTTGCAATGCACGGAACACTGACATGAAAATAACTGTAAAGTGCAAATCTAAATGATTGTAATAAGGTTGCAGTTTTATATTGGCCGTGATGTAAATAGATTACGAATTTAGGATTCCTGTCATCATAAATTGCAACAAATTCCGGCTGATGTTATGCTGAAATTTCATTCGCTTTAGCCAGAAGAATGTTGTATATGTTGCCAAATTAAATTGTAAGAATGATGTGCGAACCGATGCATACACACAGGTCAGGAGTCAGGACAGCAGACAACCGACGGTAAGAAAGGCGGGGCCCAAGAGCTGGCAGCTCGGTCCTACAGGCACAAATGGTAAATAGTGAATACCATCTTTTTCGAGTCATTTGTATGTAAACAAATAGGATTCTGAAGCGTGAACTGTGCCTTGAAACTCATCTTCAACTTTGCCAGAACATTAGAACGACGAGAAACGTAAAAGCACCAAGTACAATGACTAGAAGATGTGGCCCAAGAGAGCTAGATACTACTCTCTGTAAACGAGAGAAGGCATACACCTCTTCCAGGGGGTTTGTAGGCTACCTGCATACCCTTAAAGGCCACACCAAGACCAGCAGGACTTCTTGAAGACGAACTCCTTCGACTGCCGGCGACCGCCTGGAACAAGTCACCTTGGAGATCTTTCAGGCCTTTCTTTAACGCTTGTAGATTATCTCCCTAACATGATCATCAACATGTCTTGTAGCTCCTCTCCGAGAAAACAATGCCATGGCAAGTTCTGGCAGGTAGCTTTCAAGGTTTGTAGACCGCTTTAAAACTTATAGGTCAATTTAAAGGATTATAGCTACCCCTCCAAGGCTTGAGGATAATCTGCGAGGATTGTTGGTCACCTCCAAGGCTTGTAGGTCACCTCCAAGGCTTGTATATCACCTCCAAGGCTTGTAGGTCACCTCCAAGGCTTGTATATCACCTCCAAGGATTGTAGGTCACCTCCAAAATTTATGGGTCACTCCCTAGGCTTGTAGGTCACCCCCAAGAATTATCACTAACACCAAAGTCACAGCAGACCGTCTCCAGCGTCTTAAGATGGCTTCAAGGCTTCGCGTCATCTTCAAAGTTTTGTTTCCTTGCATCATTCGGGCCAACCTTAGTTTCTCCATCGAAAGTTTTGTAAAAACAGCCGCCAACCATTCTCCCAGACAATCCATCATCCTCCATCACAGAGACTTCAAGCCACATCACCCGTGAACACTGGACTCTCAATAATGTTCATCCTGCGCTTGCCTCGTGTGAATATATATATATATATATATATATATATATATATATATATATATATATATATATATATATATATATATATATAACTGATACCAAATTCTTTCTTATTCGAGAGAAAGATACGCTACGTATCAAGATATTAAGATTTGTTATTGGTGCTTTGATGTTTATTCATATTTTGGATATATCATGAATGGTTTCTCGTTAGAAGATATTTATTGTCATTGGCATTCATTGAATTTATCTAGTCGAAAGTTTTGATTTGTTTGTCTCGTAAATTAGTGGAGTTTTTTCAGTGACGCAACGCCAGCTTAAACACATAGTTCGCCTAGCTTGTATTTCTTTGCTTATTATTCTGACGGTTTTAAACAGATGCAAATTTAGCTAAATAAATGTAACTGTAAGGACAACCTTAGTTTATTTGGTTATATCAGTATCATATTTGAGGTTAAAACTCCAGTTACTAGCATTAATGTTTTTGACATAAACGGTAGTAGTGAGATAATTTATTGTAGGTAACGGCGCCATTAGATGCATAGAGTAAGCACCAGCAAGCGTTGTTGCAAGAGAAGGCTTCACTACTCATGGCTGCAGGGTTATTAATGGGGGTTTCCTAGTGTCCATGTTGGCAACTGTGGGTGGTGTTGGCACCCCCTCCTCTCGCAACACTCCAGCGGTGTTTACACGCCATTAAGGCACTCGGCCAGGATGGTCTCACATGCAATACTTGCTCAGTAAAGTAATATAGTTTGTCATAACCCAGCATGTGTTCCTTTTAGAAGCCCTTCAGCTACATTCACGCAATTTAAGCTTGGAAAACTAAGCGTATTCAGCTATGACTTAAGATCCACCGAACTGTTCCTGTCCGGAATGTTTGAATCGAATCACCTTCCGCCGATTGGTAAACGTATCTAGACCTAATAACAATAGTTCCCCATGGCGTAATTAATGACAATTAACAACAAGAAATAATAAAGTGAATAATAACAATACATATATTTTGTGAAGCTATGTAATATGCGCGAGAGTATAGCTTTAAATATGAGCCTTCACCGAGGTGGAAACTCTTCCAGCTTGCATGCTCATACACTGATATATCCAGCAGAAGTATATAAACTGATAGACTCACGCAGACAGAACCTCACTGGCTGATACACTGATAGACTCACGTAGACAGAACCTCACTGGCTGATACACTGTTAGACATACAAGTTCGAAAAACCATCACAAACTTTTGACCAATGATCATGCAAAGCGAACCATCACAGGCTGATAGACATACACACAGAACGACCACATACTGAACACACAGAGAAGTTAGTAAGAGTCATTATCATTGACACTAATATCATTGATACACATCAAGAATATGATAATGTTGATATCCCTAGCTAAACTTGCAGTAAATAAAGACAATGTTGCACATAATCTGGGGCTATCAAATGCAACTTCGAAAAAGTGATATTGGACGAGAACGCTAAACTCAGAAATCCAACAATTTATACATGTAGTAACTGCAGCAGGTGAAACCGTTTACAACAACTATTTAAGGTGTTGCGCTACAAAAAACATTTCTTCTACTATTACTACTACTATATCACGCCATTATTATTTTGTTTTGTGTTCTGATGGGAGCGAAGATGGAGAACTCCATTATCCTCACCAGAGTGCAGGCGGGGTAGTCACAAAACCTGGCTGTGGCACCAGCTGGGACTTTCAGACGTCTTTAGTGGACTCAGTAGAGTCCCAGGTTGAATAGCTTTTGTCCTGTCATGGCTGTGTGGGGTTAAGGTCTGGTATTCAACAGGATGCTGGTTCAAATATCTGCATTGCTTCAACTTATTTTCACACAGATATTTCAGACTATTGCGGTTTCTTTGTGTATCTCTTGTTAATATACTCTGGTATATAAACTGTATGCCAGAGTGCCAGCCGTGGACCAGAGTACCAGCCGTATGCCAGGGTGCCAAGCATAGACCCAGCCATGCCTGTGGGATTGGCACCCTGGCCTGTGACCCTGACCAGGCACCGCCCCCCCCCCCCCCTCCCGTCGTCCGCCATAGCCCTGGGATGATTGCCAAACTGACGACGGAGTATATAAGCCGCGTCGCGTGCTGCCACCTTCACAACTCTTCCTCTCTCTACTCCCCTCTCACTCTCCCACCAGTCTCTTCCCATTGGAACTCCAACTAAGTTGTGGCTCCCCTCCCCCTCAAGTGCTAGATCACCGGCTTCCCCCTTCAAGAGCGACATCAGAGGCTTCCCCCCTTCAAGAGCGAAGGCTTCCCCCTTCAAGAGCGAAGGCTTCCCCCCTCATCAGCTGAAGCTTGGGTTCTATCTCTGCGAGATTCTTTGAAATCTCTTAATAAAGAATGGCAGAGATCACGATAAATCTTATATTAGCCGGTAAGTAGCTCTCTAAGTTTGTTAGACGCTCAAAAACGTTCCAGCAAATTAAAAAAAAAACGTGTCGTAGACGTTTTTATTGTAAGTTATTACGTATTTAGAACGTTGTACCGATGGAAAAATCGTCACAATGACGTTGTAGATACAAGTGTACTCACCTAGTTGTGCTTGCGGAGTTTGAGCTTTGGCTCTTTGGTCCCGACCCCCGTGTGTGTGTGTGTGTTGCTGAGATGACAGAAAAGCTGTTATGAAATCTTAGGTATGTTGAAGGTGTGGAATACGCTGGCACAAGACGTGACTCTCCTGTCACGTCATGTCAAGAAGTTCCTTGTTGCCGAATGGGTGAAAGTGTCACGAAATGATGCTGATAAACGAAGCTGTTATGACAGGATGATGGCATAGTGTATGGCAGAAAGGACTTGTATTGTGGAAAAGGGCAGAGGCAGACCATATATGGTAGAACAGGCAGAGGCAGACCATATATGGTAGGACAGGCAGAGACAGACCATATATGGTAAGACAGGCAGCAGATACAGACCATATATGGTAGGACAGGCAGCAGAGACAGACCATATATGGTAAGACAGGCAGCAGAGACAGACCATATATGGTAGGACAGGCAGCAGATACAGACCATATATGGTAGGACAGGCAGCAGAGACAGACCATATATGGTAGGACAGGCAGCAGAGACAGACCATATATGGTAGGACAGGCAGCAGAGACAGACCATATATGGTAAGACAGGCAGCAGATACAGACCATATATGGTAGGACAGGTAGCAGATACAGACCATATATGGTAGGACAGGCAGCAGATACAGACCATATATGGTAGGACAGGCAGCAGAGACAGACCATATATGGTAAGACAGGCAGCAGAGACAGGCCATATACGATAAGGAAGGCAGAGACAGACCCAATAAATAGACAGAACTTGGACTTTTCATAAAATAAATATTTATCGGTAATGGTCGTCCACTACGAACAATCACGTGGCTCTAAATAATCAAACCCAGACCTCTGTAAACAACGATTTTGGATTCCCTTGACTTCTTCATATACAGATACGTGTCATAATGAAAATATTAAATCAAATGCTATATGGCAACTACATGCGCGTGCGAGGAGACACAGGTATCACGGCTCAGTGTGAAGGAGACAGTCGAGGAGAGAGTGTGTCGCTGCTCCCTCCTGCACGCACACCGCTTGGAGACCATCGTGATTTATCGAAGCTACTAGCAGAAAGTGCTCACTAACCTTCATATATAACAAAAGTGTCCATAATCACGTGTTGGCAATGATACACGCGCTTGTGCATAACCCTCAAGTTATTAGCAAAAACAAAACAGAGAAATTCTTATATTTTTCGGTTATGCTTGATACTCGATTTAATAATTTTTCGTATATTTCTTACGTCAAAAAGAAGAAGAGTCTCATCTTCTTGACCTCATTTTAAGTCAAGACGAAGAATTTCAACTACTCACGACAGGACTTGCCAGTGGCGTGCACGATAATTGATCAGCTTGGGAAACGAAACTAAAAGTCCCGTGGTAGCCTCAACACCAGCCCGTTGGAGGCGAGGTTCAACGAAACAGTTACATCTGTGACCTCGTTATAGATGTTTATTTCAGTCGATCTTGAACTGAAGACGACTCAGCAGCTGAACGGAACTTGAACGACCGTGTGAAGGTCACGAATGTATAATAATAATAATAATAATAATAATAATAATTTATTTATAAGATATACTATAGGTCAACTACAGTGGTTGCTTAGCAGGTACAGTATTTACATATTTTTTTAAAGCCACTACGTACGCCTATTTAGCCTATTGGATGTGTTTGTGTAACCGATCCTTCCCCCCAAGAAATGAATAATGCCCATAGCTATACTATGGATATAGAAAGTACAACAAATGGATAGGCTGTCTATACTATGGATAGAAAGTACAACAAATGGATAGGCTGTGGCGCCGTCTTAAACATCTAGAGTTTATTTCATCATTCCGCAGCTTTCCCTATACTCATGTCACAACACTATTGTCTTAACTACTCCATATGTATCAGTTTTGAGCCCATGATATTTGCAGCTGGTTCCTACGATGCGTCAGGCGTCCAGTAGTATACGAATCTACGCCAGTCTACCGGATCTACCGAGGCTGGTTATTTATTTTTTGTATTATTATTATTACTAGTAGATAGCATTAAATGTGTAAGATGGAACCCCGAGAGCCAGCGAGCGGTCAAATATAGATTAATTTAGGGAGCGCTGCTGTTGCTACACACACACACACACACACACACACACACACACACACACTCTCTCTCTCTCTCTCTCTCTCTCTCTCTCTCTCTCTCTCTCTCTCTCTCTCTCTCTCTCTCTCTCTCTCTCTCTCTCTCTCTCTCTCTCTCTCTCTCTCTCTCTCTCTCTCTCTCTCTCTCTCTCTCTCTCTCTCTCTCTCTCTCTCTCTCTCACTCACCAACACACCATGTATAAGCGTACACAAAGAGCCTCCAACAACCATGCCTATCTGACTACGACTCCACACAGCTACTGTTATTCCCAGTAATAATATGAATATACCATGACCTAAGTTGAAGGGAAGGGAACTATCAAAGCGCAAACCATATATTGTACATCGATACATATATCTGGGGTTATTCACCTTTTATAACACCATATATTGTGTTAATGTGGCTCAGCTGTTAAGAGTTAGCTTCACGACAGTCAGCTGTTAAGGAAGAAGCTACTTGATAAAAGTTATAGTGCCAGTAACACAATATTTACACAAAAAAAATGTTGCTTAAAAGTTGTATATAAGAAAAATTAACAAGAACAGTAGTTCTAAATCTAAACCTAATTCTTGTGTATAAAGTTTATAATTACAGATATTACATGTTACTTTATTATTATACATTTTCTTTGTTATATAATTTACTGTATTTTTTTGTAAACTAACCCAACTATACATGTACAAAACAAATATTTATTAATTAAATATTTCAATTTCGATACTGAATCGACATTGTCGTTCAGCTTGTCAATTTATATTTTGTTTAGATACCAAAAATAAAAAATATATGATTTTCATAATTTTGTAGTTTTGTTTACCGGATCAATAAAACTCTGGTACTTCTCTCAACAGCTGTGATTGGCGTCTGTTTGGCCCAACAGGCCTATCTGCCTCCAACCAATGGTTTCAACGGCAACGGGGGTACCGGAAATGGACTCGCAGTCAATGGAGCTAACGGGAATGGGGGATACTCCAATGGTAATGGAGGAAATGGTGTAACTAATGGAAATGGCAATGGTGGCTATACAAACGGAAATGGTGGTTACAGTAATGGTAACGGAAATGGTAATGGAGGAAATGGTGGAGTAAATGGCAACGGTGGTCCCACAAATGGCAATGGTGGTTACACTAACGGAAATGGTGGTCCCACAAATGGCAATGGTGGTTACTCCAACGGAAATGGCAACGGTGGTTCCACAAACGGAAATGGCAACGGTGGTTACTCCAACGGAAATGGCAATGGTGGTTCTACAAACGGAAATGGCAATGGTGGTTCTACAAACGGAAATGGCAATGGTGGCTATTCTAACGGAAATGGAAATGGTGGTTACTCCAACGGAAATGGCAATGGTGGTTCTACAAACGGAAATGGCAACGGTGGTTACTCCAACGGAAATGGCAATGGTGGTTCTACAAACGGAAATGGCAACGGTGGTTACTCCAACGGAAATGGCAATGGTGGTTCCACAAACGGAAATGGCAATGGTGGTTCTACAAACGGAAATGGCAATGGTGGTTACTCCAACGGAAATGGCAATGGTGGTTCTACAAACGGTAATGGCAATGGTGGCTATTCTAACGGAAATGGCAATGGTGGTTCTACAAACGGAAATGCCATTGACGGGATCTTTAACGGCATTTTCGACCCCATCGCTGCCCTTGGTGACGCTATTGGAGGCGGAGGCGTCCCCGGCGTGGACTATCCCATCCTGGCTTCTGTCCCACTCACCGGATTCTCCTGCACCGGACAAATCCCCGGATACTACGCTGATACTGCCCCAGAGGCCGGATGTCAGGTGAGTCTTATGCTGGCCCTAAGACCGGATGTCAGGTGAGTCTTATGTTGTCCCTAAGACCGGATGTCAGGTGAGTCTTATACAGCTCCCGAGGCCGGATGTCAGGGTGAGTCTTATACAGCTCCCGAGGCCGGATGTCAGGTGAGTCTTTTGTTGCCCCCCCGATGCCAGATGTCAGGTGAGTCTTATACTGTCGGGTTTTACCAATATTCAGCACTTTGTCTCATTCCTTACTACACCACAGCATTATATACCCTCCCTTCTCTTCCAATCCACCACCCAACAGTATAATAAGTATCATTTACCGTCTAATATTATATATACTCAATTTTTGTCCCGTACCTCTCCCATGGGCGGTGGCGGAAAAAAATTGTATTATAGACGCACACGTTCTGTCTAATTTGTAAATCAATATACATACACCATTTTCTGTTCGTGGTTCTGGGAGAGTGTCGAAGGTTTGTCAAGTAAGGGCCTTCAGGTTACCTGTCGCTAGCAGTCGTGTTCATTTATTTCCTTCGGTGAAGAAAGCCTTGAGATCCGACTAACCGAAGCACACCCAGAGGTATAAAAGATGTATGAAATGTGTAGAATATGAGTCACAATAATGGGGCTTGAAGATATGATAACTAAACCACACACTAGAAGATTAGGAGACAACGACGTTTCGATCCGTCATGAGTCATTATCAAGTCGATTGATATAGGTCGTTATCAATCAATTGACTTGATAATGGTCCAGGACGGACCGAAACGTCGTCGTCTCCTCATCTTCTGGTGAGTGGTTAAATTCTCATGATTGAAAAGTTAACATCAGAATCAGAAATTTTCTTCGTAACTGCTTATGCAAACCAATACCATACTGACTGGACTAAACAGGTGTACATCATTCTCAACCAACCTTAATTTTTTGCATTTAGCTTACAATATAAAAGGTGATATATTGGAAAATATATTGTAGTTTACCACAAGAGCGGCGACACAGATATGGCCATAATTTATATCAAAATATTTTTTTTAGAAGGATGAGAAGACAATTTGAAGGAGAACTATTATAAACAAATTAAACCATGAAGTTATAGAAATTTACACACCTCTCAACATTGTACGTCAACGGATTCTGGGACCATCTTGGATTAAAATCACTCCAAATAGCTCATGTAACATATATCTGACTTGACTAGAACTTTGCTTCACTAATACTGTTGTCCTCGGCAGGTGTTCCACATCTGCCAGGCCGATGGCAGGAGCGACTCTTTCCTCTGTCCCAACGGCACCATCTTCAACCAGCAGTACTTCGTGTGTGACTGGTGGTACAACTTCGACTGTTCCACCGCCCAACAGTTCTACGGTCTCAACGCTCAAATCGGTCTCACCAACGGTAACGGTAACGGGTATTCCAACGGCAATGGAAATGGTGCCAATGGTAACGGTAATGGTTATTCTAATGGCAATGGAGCCAACGGCAATGGAAATGGTGCCAATGGAGTCAACGGCAATGGAAATGGTGCCAATGGTAACGGTAATGGTTATGCTAATGGCAATGGAGCCAACGGAAATGGTATTACTAATGGCAATGGAGCCAACGGAAACGGAAATGGTATTACTAATGGCAATGGAGCCAACGGAAACGGAAATGGTATTACTAATGGAGTCAATGGTAATGGAGCCATTGGTAACGGAAATGGCTATTCTAATGGAGCAAATGGTAACGGGAATGGCTATACTAATGGAGCTAATGGTAACGGCAATGGCTATACTAACGGAGCTAATGGTAACGGCAATGGCTATACTAATGGAGCTAATGGTAACGGCAATGGCTATACTAATGGAGCTAATGGTAACGGCAATGGCCATACTAATGGAGCTAATGGTAACGGCAATGGCTATACTAATGGTAATGGTAACGGAAATGGCATTAGTAACGGAGCTAATGGCAATGGAGCCAATGGTAACGGAAATGGCATTAGTAACGGAGCTAATGGTAATGGAAAGCCCAATGGGAATGCGTACACGTACCCAAGCCCGGCCGCCACCAACGGGTTGTACCAGGTACCAAGCTTATAGATGACTCGGGTTTCGAAGCTTTTCAAAGCTTCTTTTGTCTCAATCTCTCCCTTTCCGAAATTCTGAAGCTGCACAGTGTTTCCGTTTCAAGCCTTCAGCTGTAGATAAGCTGCTGATGTCTTCTTAAGTAATGTCTTCTGCTGATGTCTTCTTAAATGTCTTCAGCAGCTGTAGAAAAGCAGAAGAGCTCTTCTCCGGTTCCAGTCTCTTTAGCTGCTGTAGAAATGCTGCTGATCTCTTCTTCACTTAAAATCCCTTCAACAAATCCGTTTCACGTCGCCCTCGACAACAGACGAGTAACTGCAATTAGTTTGTGTACAATTTCTGTCTACAGGGCGACTGGAGAATATATATATATATATATATATATATATATATATATATATATATATATATATATATATATATATATATATATATATATATATATATCCCCTAGTGTAATTAGCTTACCTTATTTGCTTTTATTTCTTTAGTTAATAGTGAATATTTATCCTTTTCTTGTAAAAAAGTAACTTATTCAGCATTGATCTTATGATTTTCAAGTCAAGCAATATTTTGAGAGATCTGGCCATAGCTGTCATCAACTGCTAATAAACACCGCTAAGATGATAATGACAGAAATGTATATTTCAGAGCTAAAAAGCAGTAATTCAGATCTTTTTTATTTCGTTATGGTTTTTACGCAACTGTGAAAACTGTCAAAATTACAGCTAAATTTAGATTTGTGTTTGTAAATCATTATCAGTTAACTGCTTCCAAAAGGTGGTTTGTTTGAAAAGAACGGCTGTGTTGTTGTAGCTCACTGGAAGAGCTAATAGTGCTGGCTGTACTAGTAGTGCTAGTTGTACTAGTAGTGCTGGTTGTACTAGTAGTGCTAGTAGTACTACTTGTGCTGGAAGCAGTAAAATTATTCTCCCCGACTCTGTACCTTAACTATTACTTCTAATAGCATTAACTAAGAGGTTTAATAGCATGTTATATCTGCCTGACGTCTTGTCTTGTGTGAGGTACTGGGTATTCTTGTGCCATATAAGGTTCATATATGCTGCCTGAACATATATCTTATATTTTTATATACATTTTATATTGAGAACAATATTAAAATTACGCGCATTTGAAAACATTGTTTTTATCCTCCCTATTTGCTGCCTGATTTCATGTGGTGACGTCAGTAGAAGGTGCCCTCTTATTGATACCATGTGGTGACGTCTGCAGGAGGTGCACTCTTGATACCATGAGGTGACGTCACCAAGATATGTCCACTTGATACCCTCTTGACGTCATAGAGCGTGTTAAACAAGCTTGTGACCAAGCTGACGCACTCAAAGATGGCAAAGCTGTCAGTAATTAGTGACGGTATTGAAGGATGTGGCAGGACCTATTTGTACCTGCTGGAATGGTTAACTCAGGGACTACCCAGCGAGGTCAGAGCAAGTCGTTTAAGATGTTGATTTAAGGGCGACGACAATCGTGGGATCAGATGTGTTCCGGCGTACCCGTGAAGGGTTAATCGCGAAGCCTAATGACAAAATGAATGTCATTTATCAGCAGAAACTATATGGGTCTCGCGGCCAATAAACACACAGACGGGATGATTGGAGAGCCCCAGGAGTGCCTCACGGAGGCAAGCACCGGCCCCACCCCACACAAGAGTACACTGGGGAGCAAAACCAAATACTTGGCCCCAACTAAAACGCAAAGAATAATCCAGTGCCCCCCCCTACCCATCCCTGCAGAGCAGATGCCAGCCGCTCACCACGACTGAGGGCATACCAGAAGCCCACCACGTCTGAGGGCACACCAGGAGCCCACCAAGACCCGCTAACTCCCGGCACCTCGCGGCCAAGCCGGCGTCGGACACCGTCACCCCGCCCAAACAGCCAGCCAAAGAACGTTCAAAATCAATCATCTATCCTCTGACCCAAGGCGATATGTGCGCCAGGCGTCGTAACAATCCGAACCGTTGAATTGGAATGCCAATCGGCAGTATCAAAATCCAAAATCGCGAAACAGAACGTGATCCGGGCGGCTCCCAGGCGGAGCAGGTGTCCAGACGTCCTCTCTTCGTCAAGGGTGAACCAGTTGTCGTTTAAGATATATAATGGAATAGGGGCTTGATGGCTCCTTCATCGGGTGCTCAGTCATGATGTATAATGGAGGGGCGGCTTGGTGGTCAACAAAACCCAGTGACTGCCATCAGTTTACTTTCACTGCCTTTTGGATTGTTACGAAAATGCACTGAAACACCTGAATATGTTAATGATGAGACAGTTTGGATGTCAAAAATAAATTATTTATTCACTATTCCACCAACAATGTTTCTGGATTTTTCAACCCAGTTCGTTAAACTTTATGAGTGCGTCTCTTGGGTCGGCCGCCACTTGGACGAGCATAGCCTGAGGACTTCTTACAATGACACGGTTTAATGCGACGCCTAGCGTGCATATCTCTTGGAGTCACGGGAGAGTTAATACATTTTCCTGCATTCCGGTTGGATCTTCGGATGAAGAGACTGTCCGGTGCAGACTTGGTTGAGGGGGTGCCAGGAGTTGACGGCTCCTACAGTGTGTTCTCGGGGCGTCTGGTTCCTGCCGGAGGTCACTCTAACGCTAGATTCCTTTCGCCGGTGTGAGTGTCACTGCTGGCGATTATTCTAAAGTTGATGTTTTATTTTATATATATCACTTATTTTTAAAGTTATGTTCCTAATAAAGATATTATAATTTATCGAGGCTATTTTTTTGCTATTTTTACATGATATATATATATATATATATATATATATATATATATATATATATATATATATATATATATATATATATATATATATATATATGTGTATATATATATATATATATATGTATATATATATATATATGTATATATATATATATATATATATATATATATTTATTTATATATATATTTATTATATATATATATATATATATATATATATATATGTATGTGCCGCGGAAGTAGTGCCCTCGGGCTCTATCAAGCTCAAGGGCGAAGGGAAAAGTTGGAATGAAGTTCCAACTGAAGCTACGCTGGAAGTCAGTCAGTGTGTCACTGCTAACGATTACTCTAATGTTGATGATTTATAATATCACTTATTTTTAAAGTTATGTTCCTAATAAAGATATAATAATTTATCGGGGCTATTTTGTTGCTACTTTTTACCTTTAATATATATATATATATATATATATATATATATATATATATATATATATATATATATATATATATATATATATATATATATATATATATATAAAATAATATGATATTATAACACATGTACGTTACTGTTGTATTTTAAAACCGGAATAATATTTTGGAGACTGAATAAGGTATGACTGGTGTTTATGATATAACACGAGGCCCGAGACAGGCGGTCACCTCCCGAAGCCCACACCAGGGTGAGGTGTGCTGCCTCACAAGTCATGCCATGTGGGCTTCTAGGGAAGGAGCACCACCGAAGGGGTTTTGGAGGACGAGCACCCCCCGAGGCGGTTCTGAGTGTGTTGCTCCTCTGCGATGGTCCAAGTGGATGCATGGGCACCATTCAAGTCCTTGATAATTACTTTACCTCATTCACTCTGTCCCCCACTACACCTTGCACTTAGTACACACTTGCGGCTGAGTAAACAGCTCTCGGGGGTCGTAGTCCTAAGGATCTGGGTTCAATTCCCGGCCGATGCAGATACAAATAGGCAGAATTTCTATCACCCTGATGAACTTGTTCACCTAGAAGTAAAGAAGTATCTGGGAGTTAGACAGCTACTCCGGGCTGTTTCCCGGGGATGTGTGTGCGTTAGTGAGAAATATATGTAGTAGCCATAACAGAGGAAAATTAAATTGGTTAGAAAGGCGGGGTTCAAGTGCTAATAGCTTGATTCTACAGGCACAAATAGTAAATACACATACACACACACTTTTTTAAATGAACATATTGAATTCAGAATAATTCGAACAGATGCGTCTGTTTTGACAGGTACAACTTCGGAAATACAAACTTTTTATTGATACTAACTGAATGAAACCAATTGTAAATAATTTGTTTTTAATCAACACTAATTCTTTACAATTTCCCTTCAACTTCTATACAATTTTCCCTTCAAGTTTTCCCTTCAACTCTCTCTCAGTCTTAATAAAGACGCTTAATATTCAATATTCTTAATAAAGATATTGAATTTCGATGTAACACGAGCAAGCGCGCGGAAGTCGTTTACAGACATCACGATAAAAGCGAACTTTTTTTGTGTCCTCTTAATGTTAATTTTTTGTATAAAATTAGATATGTAACTGTATAACCTTGCATAATAAAGTGTACACCATAAAAAAGGGGGGGTGGTAGGAGAAGCGAACACTCTTACGTATTCAGAGTTAAATGGCAAGTTTTTCCCTGAATGCTCTGTGTTCCCTTCTCTGAGGCTGTGGGTCCCTATAATTGCACCAGAGGTGGTACCCCCCCTATATATATATATATATATATATATATATATATATATATATATATATATATATATATATATATATATATATATATATATATATATATATTTGCCTAATAAGCCAAGTTTTCATGAATTAATGTTTTTTCGACTACCTAACCTACCTAACCTAACCTAACCTAACTTTTTCTGCCCCAATCCACACCGAATACAGGTGTATTTGCGGCGAGGCAGAGGCCGACAGATATGGACGGCATGGCCTTCTTTGCCAAAGGACGGGAGGATGGCATGCAAGACACGGCGAGGTTAATGACATTATTAAGAGAAGCCTTACCACAGCCGGTTGTCCAGCAGAGAGAGAGCCCCGTTACCTAATGTCCCGCAACTCTGATGAGCCTGTCGGTCGCCCAGACGGAATTACGGTGAACCCCTGGAAGAATGGTAGACAGTTGGTGTGGGACTACACTTGCGTTTCAACTTTAGCCAATACCTATGTTGACTTCAGTGCTACACAAGCAGGAGGAGCTGCCAATCACCGGGAAGCGGCCAAGTCACGTAAATACAGAGACCTTGAGCACCACTACAATTTTGTCCCCATTGCCTCAGACACTTGGTGCCTGGGGTAAAAGTGCTGCTAGCTTTTTGAAGGAGTTGGGGTCTAAGCTAATCGAAACAACTAGAGACCCTAGAGCTGCCAGTTTTCTTTTTCAGCGCCTTAGTGTGGCAATCCAGAGAGGAAATGCTCACTGCATCCACGGTTCCTGCCCGCCATCTGAGGAGCTGGAGAAGCTGTTCAACTTGTGACAAGCAGCCTTGCACCCTGCATGTAATCAATATTGTAACTTTTTTGTGTAATGACATTTTCAAATAAAGTTAGATAAATATACACACTTAACAAAAGAATAGGGTGGTAGGAGAAGAAAATATCAAAGTGTTCAGTGAGGATCCACAAGGTCTTCTCTGAGTACTCTTTATTTATATATATATATATATATATATATATAAACACATTGATAACAAGGAATCCCACCTTGAGTCCTGGAAACCCCTTTCGTGACCTGAAATTCCACCTGTTGACCAGGAAACACATTTCTTGATCTGAAATCCCACCTAGAAAAACACTTCGTGACCTGAAATCTAACCTGGTGACCTGGAAATACCCTTAATGACCTGAAATCCCACCTGGTGACCTGGAAACACTCTTTGTGGCTTGAAATCCAAATTGGTGACCTGGAAACCCACCTGGTGACCTAGAAACACACTTCGTGACCTGAAATGCAACCTAGTGACCTGGAAACAGACTTCGTGATTTGAAATCCAATCTGGTGACCTGGAAACACACTTCGTGACCTGAAATCTCACCTGGTGACCTGGAAACACTCTTTGTAACCTGAAATCCAACATGGTGACCTGGAAACAAACTTCGTGACCTGAAATCCCACCTGGTGACATGGAAACACATTTCGTAACTAGAAATCTCACCAGGTGACCTGGAAACTCCACTGGTAACCTGGAAACAAACTTAATTACCTAGGAACCCATATGGCGACCAGGAAGCCCACCTGATGACCTGGAAACCCCCTAGTGACCTGGAAATCCATGTAGGGACCTGGAAACCAACCTAGTGACCTGGAAACCCACATGGTGATCTAGACGCACCAGGTGACCAAGGATAGCTGCATTTAAGTACCTATCCTGGACAGCGAGAAGAGATACATCGTGTGAGTATCAAGAGGTAACTACGTGATGCTACAAAGTCCAGCATCTCGCTGCATGGCTAGCCATACAGGGCCTTGTGGCCAATAGCCTGCAATGGCAGGCTATTGGCCACAAGACCCTTAGGAAGCGTTATGGAACGCTTCCGCTTCTCTTAGGAAGCGTTATGAGGACATCCTGTAAACCAATAGAATATTTGTGCGTTTACCCAGGTAAAATCTACGGAAGTAATGGGCCGAAGACAGAAGTGGTCAAAGGTAGTCCTACCTGCGTGTTGGGCTTTATTTGCCGCATCCTTGAGGTCGGAGAGCGTCTGCCTAAGGCAGGTATGTTGAAGCGTCCTTGAGGTGGGAGAGTGTCTGCCCGAGCCAGGTATATAAGGCACTGCGCCATCCTTCCATCTTCATAACTCGGTCCTCACCTCTACATCTCCCTGCTTCTCCTCCTTTATCGTCTTGTGTTTCCTGCACGTTTAAGCATGGCGGCCATCATCAGGAGCCTCCTTTACCTTGGTAAGCTGATCTAAGCTATTCAACTTCTATACCCATGTATTGTTTTATGTTTATGTAGTTATTTCTGAGCAAAATGGCTTGACCTCTAAAGGTTTACACTGTGATCTATTTCACCAATAAAAATATTTTCATTATTTTAAAAAATCTTTCGGATTTTATAGGTATAACTTACGTATAGATATCGGTATAACGTATAATTGAACAGATACTTTTATATGGTATAACTTGAGTACCATTTAATTATAATAGATTAGGTAAGGTTAGGCTCGAGTGTCTTAGCACACCATTTTCTAACCTTTGTAACAACTGGACGAGCTGATTTATATATGGGGTATAGCACTAACGTGAGGATGGGCCGGGTTAGGTAGTAGTGACAGCTTTAGTTAGCGGCCATTTACAGCTTGAGTTACCAACCATTTACAGCTTGACTTCGCAACAATTTACAGCTTGAGTTAATAACCATTTACAGCTTGAGTTAGAAGTGAATGCCTAGAGTTATAACTTGGAAAATTGGCAGCCTAAAATATAGTATAAAACAAACTATCATCAAAGTATATATATATATATATATATATATATATATATATATATATATATATATATATATATATATATATATATATATATATATATATATATATATATATATATATATATATATATATAGCATGCTGTTACAGAATACCTTTACCCATATTCCATTTCTGTTTACAATTTTTCAATTAGCCTTCAGTTTGCGTTTAATTATATTACCAGAATTGTAAGCTTGAGATTATGCAAGCTTCAGCTGAAGATGTGTGGGACGAGGGAAGCTGGCGGGTATTGTCTGTGGGATATTTGGCTGAAATATCTGTTATTCTGTAAACAACAGGTGTTGTGGGCGCGTGTCTGGCTCAGCAACGGACTTACCTCCCGCCAACCAACGGATTCAGCGGTAACGGAGGAAATGGAGCCAATGGAAACGGTAATGGTGCTTACACAAACGGCAATGGAAATGGCAACGGCCTAAACGGTAATGGTGCTTATTCAACAAGCAATGGAAATGGCAACGGTAACGGTGTAAACGGTAATGGTGTTTACACAAACGGCAATGGAAATGGCAACGGTAACGGTGTAAATGGTAATGGTGCTTTCACAAACGGCAATGGAAACGGCAACGGCCTAAATGGTAATGGTGCTTACACAAACGGCAATGGAAATGGCAACGGTAACGGTGTAAATGGTAATGGTGTTTACACAAACGGCAATGGAAATGGCAACGGTAACGGTGTAAATGGTAACGGTGCTTACACAAACGGCAATGGAAACGGTAACGGTGTAAATGGTAATGGTGCTTACACAAACGGCAATGGAAATGGCAACGGTAACGGTGTAAATGGTAACGGTGCTTACACAAACGGCAATGGAAATGGCAACGGTAACGGTGTAAATGGTAATGGTGCTTACACAAACGGCAATGGAAATGGCAACGGTAACGGTGTAAATGGTAACGGTGCTTACTCAAACGGCAATGGAAATGGCAACGGTAACGGTGTAAATGGTAATGGCGCTTACACAAACGGCAATGGAAATGGCAACGGTAACGGTGTAAATGGTAATGGTGTTTACACAAACGGCAACGGTGCCGTTAACGGGATCTTTAACGGCATTTTCGACCCCATCGCTGCCCTTGGTGACGCTATTGGAGGCGGAGGCGTCCCCGGCGTGGACTATCCCATCCTGGTTTCTGTCCCACTCACCGGATTCTCCTGCACCGGACAAATCCCCGGATACTACGCTGATACTGCCCCAGAGGCCGGATGTCAGGTGAGTCTTATTCTGTCCCCGAGGCCGGATGTCAGGTGAGTCTTATCTGGCCACGAGGCCGGATGTCAGTGGTCTTATGCTGCCCCAGAGGCCGGATGTCAGGTGAGTCTTATGCTGCCCCCCGAGGCCGGATGTCAGGTGAGTCTTATGCAGCCCCCTGAAGCCGGATGTCATGTGATTCTTATGCTGCCCTGGAGGCCGGATGTCATGTGATTCTTATGCTGCCGTGTTGACATTTTATAACTGAGAGTTTATACAGTCAGGTTCACATTAAGAGTCTGTATTTCCACTAAACGTTTTAAAGCTGTTTTCATGTTACTAAAAGTTATTGAGTATTTGCTAGTAATTGTCCTCTGCCTTTATCAGTAGTCCTCTTTGGTCATAACACCTACGACAGGTGTTCCACATCTGCCAGACGTACCACTTTGCTTCACTAATACTGTTGTCCTCGGCAGGTTTTCCACATCTGCCAGGCTGATGGCAGGAGCGACTCTTTCCTCTGTCCCAACGGCACCATATTCAACCAGCAGTACTTCGTGTGTGACTGGTGGTACAACTTCGACTGTTCCACCGCCCAGCAGTTCTACGGTCTCAACGCTCAGATCGGCGTGATTATCGCAAACTCCAACGGCAATGGAGTTGGAGTTGTTAATGGCAATGGTCTCGTCAACGGTAATGGTAACGGAGCTGTAGTTAATGGGAATGGATATACTATTGGCAACGGTCTCGTCAACGGCAATGGTAACGGAGCTGCAGTTAATGGGAATGGATATACGAATGGCAACGGTCTCGTCAACGGTAATGGAGCTGCAGTTAATGGTAATGGATATACCAATGGCAATGGTCCCGTCAACGGCAATGGTAATGGATATACTAAAGGCAACGGTAATGGTAATGGCGTTCCAGTTAACGGTAACGGATATACGAATGGCAACGGTCTCGTCAACGGTAATGGTAACGGAGCTGCAGTCAATGGGAACGGATATACCAATGGCAACGGTCTCGTCAACGGCAATGGTAACGGAGCTGCAGTCAATGGGAACGGATATACCAATGGCAACGGTCTCGTCAACGGTAATGGTAACGGAGCTGCAGTCAACGGGAACGGATATACCAATGGCAACGGTCTCGTCAACGGTAATGGTAACGGAGCTGCTGTTAATGGGAACGGATATACCAATGGCAACGGTCTCGTCAACGGTAATGGTAACGGAGCTGCAGTTAATGGGAACGGATATACCAATGGCAACGGTCTCGTCAACGGTAATAGTAACGGAGCTGCAGTTAATGGGAACGGATATACCAATGGCAACGGTCTCGTCAACGGTAATGGTAACGGAGCTGCAGTTAATGGGAACGGATATACCAGTGGCAACGGTCTCGTCAACGGTAATGGTAATGGAGCTACAGGTAATGGAAATGGTTTCACCAATGGCAACGTTAACGGATATACTAGCACAAACGGTAATGGTAAAGTAAATGGTTTAACTAACGGTAATGGTGTTAACGGTAATGCCGTTAACGGTAACGGCGTTAACGGTAATGGTCACAGTAACGGCTCACCAGCCCCGGTCGGACTGTATCAGACTCCGAGCATATAATGAATAGTGTTGTTCATTATATGTGTTCCTCCTCCGCCTGCAGTCTTAGTGTTGACAGCCATTTTTGCATCATTACCTTACGACGGTCCTAAGACGTTTCTATCTTAGGTGAACACATGATAACGTTATCTTGCGAGAGTCGTAGGAAGCTTCTCTTTAAGTAATCAGAAAAGATTCAGGTCAATTATCGATTCCATCACTTGAGGAAACTCCTCTGAAGACGAGGAGATCAACCTCCACCAACTGCTTCTGTTTTCCAATATATTACATTTTTCACATTGATATATTTGATTTCTCTTCTATATTTATATTTTATATTTCGTAAACACTGTCTTTGTTTAAAAGATAAAAATATTCTCGGACGCCGTCAAAAAAATTGGCTATTCTCTCAGCTATCAAAAAACATGTCTTCATTTGTATAAGAATATATACGATTTACTTTCATATATTTGTCTATTTAAATTAATACTTAACAAAAAGAGTAAATTATGGACGGTAATTATTATGTATCATGGAATTATTCTTGTGTCATTACCTGTGTAATGAACACTTGCACAGATGACACAATAATTAGGCAACGGTTTCCGACATGCTGATTATACAGTATGTACTTTATTTATAGCTTTGAATCGTTAAACATTCAGATTTTGTGTTATGAGCTGTCAACAGACTTGTGGAGAGCGGGAGGCCACTCAGAGCTCTTGTGCCATACACCATACACACACGCACACACACACAGTTGACTTATAACCTATATTTTTATAACTTATGCATGAAATTATACATATATTAAAAGTATGTGTAAAATATGATCTCTCATTTTCTACCTAAAGTGATATTTGTGTCACAAATATTGGGACTGGAGCAAATAGTTAAGAAAGGAATAATTGGAAATGAAAGGAAACCAGAATGATACTATATTGCCAATACTGGTGGTAAACTAGTATTAGCAATATAGCATCATTCTGGTCAATTGTAAAACAGGTCACTGACATATTGCTTTATATATTGCTCGAGGTTCTGATACCAGAGCAGAAAGATATATTTTTTATTTATTTGTGTGTACATTAAAAGATATCAGAGTCATGAAGAAAAATATCTAATGACACTTCAGGTTAAGGGAATTGACTGTAAAATGTTTACATCATATTGAGAATTTGGGCATTTAATGAGATGTGGATCAAAAATTATTGAGAAATTACTGTAAAATATTGGTAAATTATTGTGATATATTGGTAAATTGTTGTGAAATATTAGGAAATAATTGTTAAATATTGGAAAATTATTGTTAAATATTGGGAAATATTGATAAATTCTTGGATTTTTTTTAATATTTGGAAATTATTTCCAAATATTATTTCTTTAGTTAATAGTGAATTATTATCTTTTTTTCTTGTAACCAAGTAACTTATTCAGCAGTGATCTAATGATTTTCCAGTCAAAAAATATTTTTAAGAGATTTGCACATAGCCGCCATCAACTGCTAGAAACACCGCTAAGATAATTATGACTGAAATGTATATTTCAGAGCTAAAAAGCAGTAATTCAGATTTTTTTTTATTTGTTATGGTAATTTACGCAACTGTGAAAACTGTCAAATTTAGAGCAAAATTTATATTTGTGTTTATAAATCATTATCAATCAACTGCTTCCAAAACGTGGTTTGTTTGAATAGAACGGCTGTGTTGTTGTAGCTCACTGGTAGAGCTAGTAGTGATGGTTGTTCTAGTAGTAATGGTTGTACTAGAGTGCTGGTTGTACTAGAGTGCTAACAGTACTACTTGTGCTGAAAGCAGCAAAAATTATTCTCCCCGACTCTGTACCTTAACTATTACTTCTAATAGCATTAACTAAGAGGTTTAATAGCATGTTATATCTGCCTGACATCTTGTCTTGTGTGACGTACTAGGTATTCTTGTGATATAAAAGGTTCATATATACTGCCTGAACATATATCTTATATTTTTATATACATTTTATATTGATAACATTATTAAAATTACGCGCATTTAAAAACATTGTTTTTATCCTCCCTATTTGCTCCCTGATTTCATGATGTGACGTCAATAGGATATGACCTCTTGATACCGAGAGGTGACGTCACCATGATATGCGCTCTTCAAACCGTGAGGTGAAGTCACCGAGAAATGCCCTCTTGATACCCTCTTGACGCCATAGAGCATGTTAAATCTGAGCATCCGTGTGACCAAGCTGACGCACTCAGAGATGGCAAGGCTACCAGTAATTAGTGACAGTATTGTAGGATGTAGCTGGACCTATTTGCACCAGCTTGAATGGTCAACCCAGGGACTGCCCAGCGATGTCAGAGCAAGTCGTTTAAGATGTTGATTTAGGGGCGACGACGATCGTGGGGTCGGATGTGCCCCGGCGTACCCGTGAAGGGTAAATCGCGAAGCTTAATAACAAAATGAATGTCATTTGTCAGCAAGCCAATAAACACACAGACGGGATGATGGGGGGGCCCCAGGAGTCCCTCAGGGAGGCAAGCACCGGCCCTGCCCCACAGAGAACACTGGGAAGCTAAAGCAAATACTCGGCTCCCAATTCAAATGCAAAACGTCATCCAGTGCCCCCAGGCAGAGCAGAAGCCGGCCGCCAACCACGACTGAAGGCACACCAAGAGCCCACCACGCCTGAGGGCACACCAGGACCCCACCACGCCTGAGGGCACACCAGGTGCCCACCACGCCTGAGGGCACACCAGGACCCCCTCCACACCTGAGGGCACACCAGAAGCCCACCACGTCTGAGGGCACACCAGGAGCCCACAGAGACCCGCCAACTCCCGGCACCTCGCGGCCAAGCCGGCGTCGGACACCGTCACCCCGTCTAGAGAACTTGCCAAAAAAACGTTCAAAATCTATCATCTATCCTGTGACACAAGGCGATAAGTGCGCCTGGCGTCGTAACAATTCGGTTCGTCGAATTGGAATGCCAATCGGCAGTATCAAATCCAAAATTGCGAAACAGAACATGATCCGGCGACTCCCGGACGGAGCAGGTGTCCAGACGTCTGCTCGTTGTCAAGGGTGAACCAGGATTCGTCGTTTAAGATAAATAATGGAATTGGGGCTTGGAGGCTCCTTCATCAGGCAGTCAGCTATGATGTATAGTGGAGGGCGGATTGGTGAGTTAACGAAACTCAGTGACTGTCATCAGATCACTTTCACTGCCTTTTGGATTGTTAAAAAAATGCACTGAAACACCTGAATATGATAATGATAAAACAGTTTGGATGTCAGAAATATATTGTTTATCCACTATTCCACCAAGAATGCTTGTAGATTTTTCATTGCGGTACGTTACAATTTATGAGTACGTCTACTGGGTCGGCCGCCACTTGGACGAGCACAGCTTGAGGACTTGCTTACAGTGAACCTGTTTAATGCGACGCCGAGCATACATATCGCCTGGAGTCACGGGAGAGTTAGTACATTTTCCTGCATTCCGGTTGGATCTTCGGGCGAAGAGACTGTCCGGTGCAGATTGGGTTGAGGGGTGCCAGAAGTTGGCGGCTCCTATAATGTGCTCTCGAGGCGTCTGGCTCCTGTAATATTCACTGTAATGCTAGATTCCGTTCGCCGGTTTGGTAAGTGCAGAGCTCACTCGCGCCTCTATGCCGCGGTAGTAGCGCACTCGGACTCTATGAAGCTCAAGGGCGAATGGAAAAGTTGGAATAAAGTTCCAACTGAAGCTGGAAGTCAGTCAGTGTGTCACTGCTAGCGATTATTCTAATGCTGATGATTTATTTGATAAATATCACTTATTTTTAAAGTTATGTCCCTGTTATAAAGTTATGTTTTTAAAGTATATATATATATATATATATATATATATATATATATATATATATATATATATATATATATATATATATATATATATATATATATATATATATATATATATATATATATATATATATATATATATATATATATATATATATATATATATATATACTGAAAACTCGCACCCCAGAAGTGACTCGAACCCATATTGCCAGGAGCACTTTGCAACTGGTGTACAAGACACCTTAACCACTCAACCATTACGACCGGACAAAAAATGATGGTAGCCGACTCTATTTTCCCATCATCCCGCCGGCACTCTAATGGTAATCTTCGGCAGAGTATTTTATCAAATCACCTTATTCTTTGGGGCACACGTGAGGAACACAAATGCGAACAACTCCCCAAGCATATATGAAACTGAAAATTTAGGTCACATTGCATGACCTAAAATTCCACCTGGAAACATTCTTCGTGGCATGTAATCCCACCTGCTGAACTGAAAACAGACATTATGATCTGAAATCCCACCTGGAAACACTTTTCATGACCTGAAATCCCACCTGATTACCTGAAAACACGCTTTGTCATCTGAAATCCAACCTGGATCCTTGGAAACACACTTCGTGACCTGAAATCCAACCTGGTTACCTGGAAGCATACTTTATGATGCGAAATCCAACCTGATGACCTGGACGCTCCACCGGCAACCTGAGAACAAACTTAATGACCTAGGAATGCATATGGCGATCAGAAAGCCCACCTGATGACCTGGAAACCCACCTAGTGACTCGGAAATCCACCTAGTGACCTGGAAACCCACCTAGTGACCTGGTAATCCACCTAGTGACCTGGAAACTTACATGGTCATCTAGAAACGCGTCTGGTGACCAAGGATAGCTGCATTTAAGTACCTATCTTGGACAGCAAGAAGAGATACATCGTGTGAGTATCAAGAAGTAACTACGTGATGCTACAAAGTCCAGCATCTTGCTGTATGGCTAGCCATACAGGGGCATGTGGCCAGTAGCCTCCACTGGCACTCTTTGGAAGTGTTATGAGGACATCCTATAAACCACGAGAGTACCTATGCGTTTACCCAGATAAAATCTACGGAGGTTTTGGGCCGAAGACAGAAATGGTCAGACGTAGTCCTGCCTGCGTGTTGGGCTTTCTTTGCCGCATCCTTGAGGTGGAAGAGTGTTTGCCTAAGGCACGTATGTATAAGCGTCCTTGAGGTGGGAGAGTGTCTGCCCGAGCGAGGTATATAAGGCACTGCGCCATCCTTCCATCTTCATAACTCGGTCCTCACCTCTACATCTCCCTGCTTCTCCTCCTTTATCGTCTTATCTTGTGTTTCCTGCACGTTTAAGCATGGCGGCAATCATCAGGAGCCTCCTTTACCTTGGTAAGCTGCTCTAAGCTATTCAACTTCTATGCTCAAGTATTGTTTTATGTTTATATAGATATTTCTGATCAAAATGGCTTGACCTCTAAAGGCTAACACTGTGATGTTCTCCAGTAACAATATTTTCAATATTTTAAAAAATCTTTCGGATTTTATAGGTATAACTTAGGTATAGGTATCGGTATAACGTATAATTGAAAAGGTATTTTTATATTACATAACATGAGTACCATTTAATCATAATAGTTTAAGTAAGGTTAGGCTCGAGTGTTTTAGCACATCATTTTCTGTCCTTTGTAACAACTGGACGAGCTGATTTATATATGGGTATAGCATTAACGCTAGGATGGGCCGGGTTAGGTAATAGTGACAGCTTTAGTTAGCGGCCACTTACAGCTTGAGTTAGCAACCATTTATAGCTTGAGTTAGCAACCATTTACAGCTTGAGTTAGCGGTCATTTACAGCTTGAGTTAGCAAACATTTACAGCTTGAGTTAGCAACCATTTACAGCTTGAGTTAACAACCATCTATAGCTTGAGTTAGCAACCGTTTACAGCTTGAGTTAGCAACCATTTACAGCTTGAGTTAGCAACCATTTACAGCTTGAGTTAGAAGTGAATGTCTAGAGTTATACTTTGGAAGATTGGAAGCTTAAAATAAAGTATAAAACAAACTATCATCGAAGTATATATATATATATATATATATATATATATATATATATATATATATATATATATATATATATATATATATATCTTTATGTAGATATATATTAAATATATAAGATTATAATTCTAACACGAATTTTATCAATCTTTCGTATATATAGGTATATATATATATATATATATGCTGTTACAGAATACCTTTACCCATATTCCATTTCTGTTTACAATTTTTCAATTAGCCTTCACGTTTAATTATATTACCAGAATTGTAAGCTTGAGATTATGCAAGCTTCAGCTGAAGGTGTGTGGGACGAGGGAAGCAGGCGGGTATTGTCTGTGGGATATTTGGCTGAAATATCTGTTATTCTGTAAACAACAGGTGTTGTGGGCACGTGTCTGGCTCAGCAACGGACTTACCTCCCGCCAACCAACGGATTCAGCGGTAACGGAGGAAATGGAGCCAATGGAAACGGTAATGGTGTTCACACAAACGGCAATGGAAATGGCAACGGTAACGGTGTAAATGGTAATGGTGCTTACACAAACGGCAATGGAAATGGCAACGGTAACGGTGTAAACGGTAATGGTGTTTACACAAACGGCAATGGAAATGGCAACGGTAACGGTGTAAACGGTAATGGTGTTTACACAAACGGCAATGGAAATGGCAACGGTAACGGTGTAAATGGTAATGGTGCTTACACAAACGGCAATGGAAATGGCAACGGTAACGGTGTAAATGGTAATGGTGTTTACACAAACGGCAATGGAAATGGCAACGGTAACGGTGTAAATGGTAATGGTGCTTATACAAACGGCAATGGAAATGGCAACGGTAACGGTGTAAATGGTAATGGTGCTTACACAAACGGCAATGGAAATGGCAACGGTAACGGTGTAAATGGTAATGGTGCTTACACAAACGGCAATGGAAATGGCAACGGTAACGGTGTAAATGGTAATGGTGCTTACACAAACGGCAATGGAAATGGCAACGGTAACGGTGTAAATGGTAATGGTGCTTACAATAACGGCAATGGAAATGGCAACGGTAACGGTGTAAATGGTAATGGCGCTTACACAAACGGCAATGGAAATGGCAACGGTAACGGTGTAAATGGTAATGGTGTTTACACAAACGGCAACGGTGCCGTTAACGGGATCTTTAATGGCATTTTCGACCCCATCGCTGCCCTTGGTGACGCTATTGGAGGCGGAGGCGTCCCCGGCGTGGACTATCCCATCCTGGCTTCAGTCCCACTCACCGGATTCTCCTGCACCGGACAAATCCCCGGATACTACGCTGATACTGCCCCAGAGGCCGGATGTCAGGTGAGTCTTATTCTGTCCCTGAGGCCGGATGTCAGGTGAGTCTTATTCTGGCCACGAGGCCGGATGTCAGTGGTCTTATGCTGCCCCAGAGGACGGATGTCAGGTGAGTTTTATGCTGCCCCCCGAGGCCGGATGTCAGGTGAGTCTTATGCAGCCCCCCGAAGCCGGATGTCATGTGATTCTTATGCTGCCCTGGAGGCCGGATGTCAGGTGAGTCTTATGCTGCCGTGTTGATATTTTATAACTGAGAGTTTATACAATCAGGTTCACATTAGGAGTCTGTATTTCCACTAAACGTTTTAAAGCTGTTTTCATGTTATTAAAAGTTATTGAGTATTTGCTAGTAATTGTCCTCTGCCTTTATCAGTAGTCCTCTTTGGTCATAACACCTACGACAGGTGTTCCACATCTGCCAGACGTACCACTTTGCTTCACTAATACTGTTGTCCTCGGCAGGTTTTCCACATCTGCCAGGCTGATGGCAGGAGCGACTCTTTCCTCTGTCCCAACGGCACCATCTTCAACCAGCAGTACTTCGTGTGTGACTGGTGGTACAACTTCGACTGTTCCACCGCCCAGCAGTTCTACGGTCTCAACGCTCAGATCGGCGTGATTATCGCAAACTCCAACGGCAATGGAGTTGGAGTTGTTAATGGCAATGGTCTCGTCAACGGTAATGGTAACGGAGCTGTAGTTAATGGGAATGGATATACTAATGGCAACGGTCTCGTCAACGGCAATGGTAACGGAGCTGCAGTTAATGGGAATGGATATACGAATGGCAACGGTCTCGTCAACGGAAATGGAGCTGCAGTTAATGGTAATGGATATACCAATGGCAATGGTCCCGTCAACGGCAATGGTAATGGATATACTAATGGCAACGGTAATGGTAATGGCGTTCCAGTTAATGGTAACGGATATACGAATGGCAACGGTCTCGTCAACGGCAATGGTAACGGAGCTGCAGTCAATGGGAACGGATATACCAATGTCAACGGTCTCGTCAACGGTAATGGTAACGGAGCTGCAGTCAATGGGAACGGATATACCAATGGCAACGGTCTCGTCAACGGTAATGGTAACGGAGCTGCAGTTAATGGGAACGGATATACCAATGGCAACGGTCTCGTCAACGGTAATGGTAACGGAGCTGCAGTTAATGGGAACGGATATACCAATGGCAACGGTCTCGTCAACGGTAATGGTAACGGAGCTGCAGTTAATGGGAACGGATATACCAATGGCAACAGTCTCGTCAACGGTAATGGTAACGGAGCTGCAGTTAATGGGAACGGATATACCAATGGTAACGGTCTCGTCAACGGTAATGGTAATGGAGCTACAGGTAATGGAAATGGTTACACCAATGGCAACGGTAATGGATATACTAGCACAAACGGTAATGGTAAAGTAAATGGTTTAACGAACGGTAATGGTGTTAACGGTAACGGCGTTAACGGTAATGGTCACAGTAACGGCTCACCAGCCCCGGTCGGACTGTATCAGACTCCGAGCATATAATGAACAGTGTTGTTCATTATATGTGTTCCTCCTCCGCCTGCATTCTTAGTGTTGACAGCCATTTTTGCATCATTACCTTCCAGACTTGGTGCTGACAGCCATTGTTGCATCGTTACCTTACGACGGTCCTAAGACGTTTCTATCTTAGGTGAACACATGATAACATTAACTTGCGAGAGTCGTGGGAAGCTTCTCTTTAAGTAACCAGAAAAGATTCAGGTCAATTATCGATTCCATCACTTGAGGAAACTCCTCTGAAGACGAGGAGATCAACCTCCACCAACTGCTTCTGTTTTCCAATATATTACTTTTTCACCATTGATATATATGATTTCTCTTAGATATTTTAATTTCATATTTCGTAAACACTCTCTTTGTTTAAAAGATAAAAATATAAAATATTCTCGGACGCCGTCAAGAAAATTGGCTATTCTCTCAGCTATCAAAAAATATGTCTTGATTTGTATAATTATATTTACAATCTACTTTCATATATTTATCTCTTTAAATTAATACTTGACAAAACTTCTTGGATCAGGGTGAATTATGGACGGTAATTATTATGCATCATGGAATTATTCCTGTGTCATTACCTGTGTAATGAACACTTGCACAGATGACACATAATAATTAGGCAATGGCTTCCGACATGCTGATTATATGTACTTTATTTATGGCTTTGAGAGCGTTAAACATTCAGCTTTGTGTGATGAGCTGTCAACAGAGTTGTGGAGAGCGGGAGGCCACTCAGTGCTTTTGTGCCATACACCATACACACACACACACACACACACACAGTTGACTTATAACCTATATTTTTATAACTTATGCATGACATTATACATATATTAAAACTATGTGTAAAATATTATCTCTCATTTTCTCCCTAAAGTGATATTTGTGTTACAAATATTAGGACTGAAGCAAATAGTTATGAAAGGAATAATTAGAAATGAAAGGAAAACCAGAATGGTACTATATTGCCATACTGGTGATAAACCAGTATGGCAATATAGCATCATTCTGGTCAATTGTAAAGCAGGTCACTGACATATTGCTTTATATATTGCTCAAGGTCCTCATACCAGAGCAGAAAGATATAATGTTTTATTGTTGCTTGTATACATTAAAAGATATCAGAGTCATGAAGAAAAATATCAAATGACACTCGAGTTTAATGGAATTGACTGTAAACAGTTTACATCATATTGAGAATTTGGGCATCTAATGAGATGTGTAACTGTGAGTGGAACAAAAATAATTGTGAAATATTGATAAATTATGAAATATTGGGAAATAATTGGAAATTTATTTTGAAATATTTGGAAATTATTGTGAAATATAGGGAAATTATTGTAAAATATTGGGAAATTATTGTGAAATATTGAGAAATTATTGCGAAATATGACAGTGAGGCAACTAAGGTTGTCCAATTAACAAGCGGGTCAATGAAGTTTCACTTGATCAAGTTCAAATGACTTGAAGAAGGTCAATGGAAAAAGTCATGTTTAACGACCTGTACTTTATTATTACGTAAAGCTGACCATTTTATTCTTAGACATGTAAATAATGCAGAATACATCATTCTGTAGTAATTGATGAAAAGAACTTTGGTACCATGTCCGAACTATCAAACAATTTTTTTTTTTTTTTGTTTCACTGACAAATGAACAAGAGTCTATACCAATAGGGTAAGATACCCATTCAAATTATGCTATATTTTTTGCATTCATTTTAAATAAGATACATCCAAAATATATATTCTGATATCGAAAGATTGAGGGATTAAAAATTATCAATACCAAGGACCTTGTCGCGTCCATAACAATAATGAAGAACATTTATTTAATTAACGCCAATTTTTTATGAGTATAACACATTACATATAACGCAGCAATAACGATACTTGTATCACAGGAAAGATTTATATTTCATTTGTAAATAAATAACTGAAAATACCACACTACCCGCAAGTTTTTATTTGCCATTTATATAAATGATAAGTGAACGGGAAAGTACATTGATATGTTCCAGGAAAAGTTGATTTAAACCAGAAGGGTTATATTTAACACATAACGATTTTCCTACTCTTGACTTAGCATGGTGGCATCCTTGTAATAATTCACATGAAAATTTGGAAAGCATGAATTGCGAGATGCAGCTAGTATTTAGTGTATTCAAGTACTAAGTGTGTTCTAGTACTGTGCTCTAGTACTAAGTGTGTTCTAGCACTGTGCTCTAGTACTAAGTATGTTCTAGTACTAAGTGTGCTCTAGTACTAAGTGTGTTCTAGCACTAAGTGCTCTAGTACTAAGTATGTTCTAGTACTAAGTGTGCTCTAGTACTAAGTGTGTTCTAGTACTAAGTGTGCTCTAGTACTAAGTGTGTTCTCTACCACTATATGTGTTCTAGCACTGCGCTCTACCACTAAGTGGGCTCTAGCACTAAGTGTGTTCTAGCACTGTTCTCTAGGAATAAGTGTTTTCTAGCACTAACTGTGCCCTAGAACTAATTGTGCTCTAGCACTGTGTTCTAGCACTGTCCTCTAGCACTAACTGTGCTCTAGTACTGTGTTCTAGCACTGTGTTCTAGCACTAACTGTGCTCTAGCGCTGTGTTCTAGCACTGTACTCTAGCACTAACTGTGTTCTAGCACTGTCCTCTAGCACTAACTGTGCTCTAGCACTGTGTTCTAGCACTGTACTCTAGCACTAACTGTGTTCTAGCACTGTGTTCTAGCACTGTCCTCTAGCACTAACTGTGTTCTAGCACTGTGTTCTAGCATTGTCCTCTAGCACTAACTGTGTTCTAGCACTGTGTTCTAGCACTGTCCTCTAGCACTAACTGTGCTCTAGCACTGTGTTCTAGCACTGTCCTCTAGCACTAACTGTGCTCTAGCACTGTGTTCTAGCACTGTACTCTAGCACTAACTGTGCTCTAGCACTGTGTTCTAGCACTGTACTCTAGCACTAACTGTGCTCTAGCACTGTGTTCTAGCACTGTCCTCTAGCACTAACTGTGTTCTAGCACTGTGTTCTAGCATTGTCCTCTAGCACTAACTGTGCTCTAGCACTGTGTTCTAGCACTGTCCTCTAGCACTAACTGTGCTCTAGCACTGTGTTCTAGCACTGTACTCTAGCACTAACTGTGTTCTAGCACTGTGTTCTAGCACTGTGTTCTAGCACTGTACTCTAGCACTAACTGTGTTCTAGCACTGTACTCTAGCACTAACTGTGTTCTAGCACTGTGTTCTAGCACTGTACTCTAGCACTAACTGTGTTCTAGCACTGTACTCTAGCACTAACTGTGTTCTAGCACTGTGTTCTAGCACTAACTGTGTTCTAGCACTGTGTTCTAGCACTGTGTTCTAGCACTGTGTTCTAGCACTAACTGTGTTCTAGCACTGTGTTCTAGCACTGTGTTCTAGCACTGTGTTCTAGCACTGTGTTCTAGCACTAACTGTGTTCTAGCACTGTGTTCTAGCACTAACTGTGTTCTAGCACTAACTGTGTTCTAGCACTGTGTTCTAGCACTAACTGTGTTCTAGCACTGTGTTCTAGCACTAACTGTGTTCTAGCACTGTGTTCTAGCACTAACTGTGTTCTAGCACTGTCCTCTAGCACTAACTGTGTTCTAGCACTGTACTCTAGCACTAACTGTGTTCTAGCACTGTACTCTAGCACTAACTGTGTTCTAGCACTGTCCTCTAGCACTAACTGTGCTCTAGCACTGTGTTCTAGCACTGTACTCTAGCACTAACTGTGTTCTAGCACTGTCCTCTAGCACTAACTGTGCTCTAGCACTGTGTTCTAGCACTGTACTCTAGCACTAACTGTGCTCTAGCACTGTGTTCTAGCACTGTATTCTAGCACTAACTGTGTTCTAGCACTGTGTTCTAGCACTGTGTTCTAGCACTGTGTTCTAGCACTGTGTTCTAGCACTGTGTTCTAGCACTGTACTCTAGCACTAACTGTGTTCTAGCACTGTACTCTAGCACTAACTGTGTTCTAGCACTGTGTTCTAGCACTGTGTTCTAGCACTGTGTTCTAGCACTAACTGTGTTCTAGCACCGCAAAGAAAATAAAGGCAATCAAAAATCTTAGTACTGTTCAAAATTCTATATAAAACTCTCCAGCGAACAAGACAGCTTGCGGAGACTGTCAGTAATCCTTTAAAACTCGCACACGGAATATCACGTGATCTTCGCTGTGAATCCGAGGATCGATCGTCCCCCGCGGCCCGGTCTCTGACTAGCCCTCCTGGTTGGGAGGCTGGTCAACCAGGCTGTTGAACGCGGCTGCTTGCAGCCCTGACACATAAATCGCAGCCTAGTTGTTCAGGTTTCCTGTGGATGTATATACAGGTTTCACTTTACTTGTGCAGATATCAGCCCAAGAAATGACGATATCTACACACACACACACACACACACACACACACACACACACACACACACACACACACACACACACACACACACACACACACACACACACACACACACACACACACACACACACACACACACACACACACACACACACACACACACACACACACACACACACACACACACACACACACACACATACACACACACACACACACACACACACACACAGTGGTAGACGGTTGGAACAAGGTAGGGGAGAAGGTGGTGGAGGCCAAAACCGTCAGTAGCTTCAAAGCGTTATATGACAAAGAGTGCTGGGCAGACGGGACACCACGAGCGTAGCTCTCATCCTGTAACTACACTTAGGTAATTACACTTAGGTAATTACACACACACACACACACACACACAATAAAAGAGGTCAATTTAGTTGAATTTGCATCAATGATAAGCCAGTGTGTGGGATCCATTGACAAATGGTTTACAAAGTATTCCTGATAACAATAAATGTAAACTCTTGGAGAGCTTACCAATGTTTTAGGAACAATGGGTAAATGCCACAACAAATAAGGAAGTATAAAATGTGAGACACGTAAAAAATGGCAGCATTAATGTTCAGGTAAATTCAGATGCAGGAAAATGAGGTAAACAGGTAAACAAGATTCAGGTAAATGAACGGAAACAGGTAAACGAGAGTGAGGCAAATGGGGAAACAGTAAGAGAAGAGGATGCTAGGAAAGAGTAGAAATTCACAATCAAAGCAGAATTACACTGGGAGAGAGCAGAGATGAACAAAGCAGCAGCACAGATTCACACGAAATCACAAACTCTAGAAGAATGAAAAAATAAAACGAGGAAACTGAACAAGAAAAGGAATCATTTGAAGCTCCACCAAGTCTACAGCACACAGCTCAGAGTATAGTAAGTATTATTAAAAACAATATAAAGCCCGAACTGATGCCCCTGATGACACTAGACTGTGAGGTAGCCATTAAACCTCATAATGCTGCCCTTTGCCTCAGGGCCCAAACTCTTGGAATTCCATTTTCATCAATATATGACCTGAAAAATATTACGGACCCTTAAACCTCATTTGGAGACGGAGCCTAGACACGGATGATATCCACGACACGCTTAACGTAGATTTTCCCACTCCACGAAAGATGGGTAATAAAGCCAAGCAAAATGTAACAAAGCGATACAGCACTAACATCGGGTATCATAACAATTTCGAAAGAGTTCTTAGCAGACTACAAAGCACGTGAGTTAGAATGTCTAGCCAACATGCGGTTAGACAAGAATGCTCCTATCTCTCAAAATTAATTGAGCCTACAATGGCATGGCCATAAAAATCAGTACATCTTACTTACAATAAAAGTACTCTCAGTACATCTTATTACATCCGCATCATCACTAGTGAATGATGCACAATACCGAGCCATATTAAACAAAGCTACTATTAATATTGAAAATTATTGTGAAGTTTCCGCGAAAATTATTTTTATCTAAAAGCGATGCTCAACTGACAGTGAATTTAAAGGTTCTATGTACTGCAGGTGTTATGACCTGGTTCTGTGTGCTGGTGGTGTAATGACCTGAATTGCCTTGTTCCGATGTACTAATAACCGTCACGCGGTTCATTCAGACTATTTCTCTTCCGGCCTTGAACCCTGAGCTCTGGTCGCTGGACGGAGTATATAAGGCAGTGAACTCTCCACTCTGGCACACAACTCTCGCTCTCTGCTCCCAGTCCTCAAGTCTTCCCTCCTCCTCCTCGACGACGGGTCCTCCTCGACCGACCACTCGACCTCGATCACCACGTCGACAACGAACCGAGGGCTCAAATACATTATAAACTGAGGTCACTAAAGCCTGCAACATGAGGGTGGCATCACACGTAATGTTTGCCGGTGAGTATCGCTTGTTGCGTCCCAAAGTGTTGTTCAACACATGCCACACGCATGTACACACAAACACACATAAAACATATATATATACATTCACACAACTCTCACACACACACGAGAACCAAAACTTTCATTTCCATTATATTGTAATTAATGGAAACTTGTTTGGTGGAGAGAAATATTACATTTATGCCAGAACTGGCCTCAGAATCCTCAAAAGTAGCACTTCTCCTTTACGTAAATAATCACATGACGTTAACACGAAGTTGCGCAAATTACGTGATTTTATTCGCAAAGAATAAACTATTCTTTAGTAGATGAGAGAGTGATATATTTTTATTCACAAATAATACAATATTCTTAAGTAGATGAGAGAGAGTGACATATCAGAACAATCCAAAGTCAATAAGTAGTTATTATATGACAGCGTTAAGCCAGGATGGCTCTATAGCATTGACAGAACAACTAAGCAAACATGAACAAAGTTCTCCTCAGAACAAACAACTCACAAGCCGTAAACAAGTAATAGCATCACACAGTACTTACTATGAAACTAACATTCATTAACAATATTATCAATATTTGAAAATACAGAATTGCTTGTAAAACTTTACTGAACAACAATATTTAACAAATTGAGTAACTAGTATAGAAATTATGTCTCTAATCTTTTAGGCAATTACTGTAATTAAATTCAATCCTTTATGTAAGCTTCATCGTGACTGCAGACGTCCAAAACAAATAAATCCATTTGTTTTCAATGAAGCATAGTTTTCAAATGAATATGAACAATTTAATTTACAAAAACAGTAATCAATAAACTGCCTGAATGTGACTGTAGAGAGTCGAGTAGCAGACAAGAGAGCTACAAACTCCAAGCAACAGAAATGATGATAACAGAGTTTAGGAAGACAATGTTGTGAGTCACAAAGAAGAGGCTCTTGCTCCTTCGTGTATTTACTCAAAATTGTAATTAATTTTTATCAATAAAGATGTTAATAATAAAATAACGCTCTTTACTCTTTTTTCACAGCACTCCTTGGGGCGTCATTGGCGGCACAGCTGAATTACTTAGCACCAACGAACGGGTTTAACGGCAACGGAGGCAATGGCAACGGACACCGTAATGGCAATGGCCACGTAAATGGTAATGGCGGCTACAGGAATGGAAACGGTAACAATGGTTACACTAATGGAAACGGGAATGGCAATGGCGTTTATACGAATGGTAATGGTGTCCACAAGAACGGAAACGGTGTTTACACGAACGGAAATGGAGGTTATTCAAACGGCGTTAATGGTTTGAATGGAAACGGTGCAGTCGCTAATGGATTCATAAACGGAAATGGTGGCTACACCAATGGTAATGGCGGAATAAATGGAAATGGTAACGGTGTGACCATCGGCAATGGATATGTTAATGGAGGATATGCCAACGGTAATGGGAATGGAATAATAAACGGAAACGGCAATAGAGTTATCAATGGCAACGGTAATGGAGTGATCAACGGCAACGTCAACGGAGTGGTCAACGGTAACGGTGTGATTAACGGGAACGGATTCTACAACGGCCTGGTAGACCCCATCGCCGCCCTTGGTGATGCTATTGGAGGCGGAGGCGTCCCCGGCGTGGACTATCCCATCCTGGCTTCTGTCCCACTCACCGGATTCTCCTGCACCGGACAAATCCCCGGATACTACGCTGATACTGCCCCAGAGGCCGGATGTCAGGTGAGTCTAATGCGGGTCCCGAGGTCGGATGACAGGTGAGTCTTATGCTGCTCCTAAGGCCGGATGTCAGGTGGGTCTTATGCTGCTCCCGAGGCCGGATGTCAGGTGAGTCTTATGCTGCCCTAGAGGCCAGATGTCAGGTGAGTCTCTCATATTGTTGTTTTAGATTCAGCTACTAGGAACAAAAAGTTTCAAGTAGCACGGGCTATAGTGAGTCTGTAGTGGGCTTACCTGGCACAGGAGCGGGGCTGCCGTGAGTCTTATGTCAGGCAAGTCTTTTATTGAGTCTCATGCTATCCATGAGACGAACGGAATGTTAGGTGAGTTTTATACTGTCCCCAAGGCCGGATGGCAATAGAGTCTCATGCTCCCCCCATAAGGCCGGATGTCGAGTGAGACTTATACTGACGCCGAGGCGTAGTATCACAGCTTCACTAATACTGTTCTCCTCGGCAGGTGTTCCACATCTGCCAGGCCGATGGCAGGAGCGACTCTTTCCTCTGTCCCAACGGCACCATCTTCAACCAGCAGTACTTCGTGTGTGACTGGTGGTACAACTTCGACTGTTCCACCGCCCAGCAGTTCTACGGTCTCAACGCTCAGATCGGTCTCACCAATGGTAATGGTAACGGGTATTCCAACGGCATCGTTAACGGAATTGTCAACGGTAATGGAATTTACGCCAACAGAGTCAATGGAAACGGTAATGGCATCAAGAATGGTAATGGGTATACCAATGGCAATATTAACGGAGGCAACGGTAACGGTTTCATCACTGGGAACGGAGGTAATGGCGTGACCAATGGTAATGGCTATACCAACGGTAACGGCGTTAACGGTAATGGTTATACCAACGGTAACGGAGTCAATGGTAATGGATATACCAACGGTAATGGATATACTAACGGTAATGGTATCAACGGCAATGGTTATACCAACGGTAACGGAGTCAATGGTAATGGCCTTACCAACGGCATCAAAGGTAACGGCGTCAACGGTAATGGATATCCCAACGGTAACGGCCTCAACGGTAATGGCGTCAACGGTAATGGAATCAACGGTAACGGATATAGCAACGGTAACGGCGTCAACGGTAATGGATATACCAATGGTAACGGCGTCAACGGTAATGGCGTCAACGGTAACGGCGTCAACGGTAATGGATATACCAATGGTAATGGCGTCAACGGTAATGGCTATACCAATGGTAACGGCGTGAACGGTAATGGCGTGAACGGTAATGGCTATACCAATGGTAACGGCATCAATGGCAACGGAGTCAATGGTAATGGCTATACCAATGGTAATGGCGTCAACGGTAATGGCGCCAACGGTAACGGCATCAACGGAAATGGCTATACCAATGGTAACGGCATCAATGGTAATGGCTATACCAATGGTAACGGCGTCAATGGCAACGGAGTCAATGGTAATGGCATCAATGGTAATGGCTATACCAATGGTAACGGCGTCAGTGGCAACGGAGTCAATGGTAATGGTGTAAACGGTAACGGCATCAACGGTAATGGCGTCAATGGTAACGGCATCAACGGTAATGGATTTAGCATAGCATCGCCAGCCTCTCCCTCCGGGTTGTACCAGACGCCCAGCTTCTAGACGACGCGTCACACGACGCTTGTAAACATTGTCTTGTGACAAACCGCAGCTGCTGTTGCAGGACGCTTCTCTATCATTCTGTAGCTGAAGACGTTCAAGTAAATATTCCTCAAGAGGTAGCTTAAGCCACTGATCCAAACTGCTGAGCCTGACGAGTTCTGGTACACATAGGGATGTGTACCAGAACTGAATGTGTACTAGGGTTCAGATCACAGATGGACGACCTCTTTACTTAATTGATGCTTGGCAAAAATTTTACGTATTCTTATTTATATACATAATATAAAAAATTATATCCTGAAATTAAAATACGTCATAATAATATTTGTTCATAAGTTGATTTGTAAAGTATTACGTTTCTTTTCTACGCTCAGTGATTGCCTTTTGTCTCTTCTTCCAAACTGTAATATATTATATTTTATTGCTTGCTTTATATGCTGATTTATATTTTCTTATAATAAAAATGTATTTGAAAATAAGCAAGTGAATATTATTCCCAAAATCATTGTTTACATTTGATGGCAAAGCCAACACTGTTGAAGCATTGAAGCTTCGCTACAAGCACTTCACATTGACCAAGAGTTGAAAATATCAGCTTCTAGTTGTATGTGTACTTAGGATTTACGTTTTTCTTTCAATTAACGAGCTTGGGTACACACAAGACTAGGTGAGTACAGCAGTGCAGGCTGATGTCATTGAGACTCTACCAACATATTAAAATACTGAACAAGTTGAAGGCCATTAATCCAGACCGCTTCATTAAAAGGTCAAATGCAAAGCGTACAATTAGGGGCAAGAGCTTCAAGCTCAACAAGCCGTAATGTAGGACAGAAATATTATATTTTCACTCGTAGTGTTATAAACTCATGGAACTACCTACTCAACGAAGTCAATACGTAAAGTCTAAAATCCAGATAGAAAAACCCTCAGGAATAAAGATGAGGGAGGAGGGGGTCATCTGACAAAACGCCGGCTTCCTATCCCCCATCGAGGCCATTACAGGAAGATAATGGCCCTCAGGTAAATATATTCCATGTGTGTTGACTTTAGACAGTTAAGCATATCGTGTGTAGACTGGTAACAAGTAATAGGATGAACAAGCCACAGCGGATGTTCTTTCTATCAATAGGAGGGTAGAAATAGCCTAAGCTACTCTATCCCTTTGAGATGTATTTCTTTCTTGTCTCAAGAAACATACTTAAACTTGAACTTCCTATCAATAAAAACGATCCCTATTTCAAGAAACAACAGTCACTGACACTCAAAAGGCAGAAACAGTAGCATAAAGGATTATATGTAAAAATTGTGTAAAAATGAGACTTGAATGTACTGTATATACAGAGCAAACCATCCACTTGACAGTGTGACATTATAACTGCCAGAAGCAGGCTAGGATATCGGATATCGATACTTATGACAGGTAGTGAATCCCCCAACGGTGAGTATTCCAACTGTAAATTGTGTAAGCAAGAACTAGGACATACTACACTATATATGTTATCAATGATTTCAACACTTTCACAATGATTTGACACTTTTAGCTCTGTAACTACTTAATCGTACCGAAAAGGAATGAAAACTAACATTGGAAAGTATTCTTGAGTTCTACCCTTGTGCAGACTAGTGGACAAGACTCGATTCCACATGTCATACCATTCAAGTTCAAGTTCAAGTATGTTTATTGAGACAAGAAAAAAATACATCTCAAAGGGATAGAGTAGCTTAGGCTATTTCTACCCCCCTCTACTTCAAGTCCCTCAAGGGGCGCACAAATTCAGTGAGTACAGATACACAAATCACAATACAACATTTAACATTGCATATTAATATAGTAAGTGTTACAATCATTGGGGCAAAATTCTTGTAGTTCCTAAGTATTCTGTCTATCATATCATTATCACACATCCAAACAATTTGAAGTGGTACACTACTTATTTCCTTATTTCTATGGTTATCCATAATTTGACACTTTAATACATAATGGTCTTCCAAGTTCAAGTAGGTTTATTGAGACAAGTTAAAAAAAAAAAAAAAAAAAAAAAAAAAAAAAAAAAAAAAAAAAAAAAGATTAGCTTAGGCTATTTCTACCCCTTCCCATACTTCAAGTCCCTCAAGGGGCGCACAAATTCAGTGAGTACAAATACAAGAATCCCATGTAACATATCAGGTTAATATAGTACTATCTAAGAGTATAATAGTGTACATCCACCGCACTAGATTTTAACCCATTAACGCTCCAAGATAATATTCTCACTCTACTTTCATCCATGATTTAATAAAACTACCTTTGCCCTGTCTGTCACATTCCATGAGATACGAGATTTTCTCAGACAGACTCTCCCAACACTGTAACATTTCTGCTTTCTCCTCATTTGCACAACAGCTACTAGCATCAAAGGTGATCTTATTCATATCTAATTTCTTTCTTATTTCTCTATACCGTTTTACTTTAACCTTTGTTTCGACATTTGTCACTACAGAAGGTTGAACGCTAACACTACTAGAAAGTTCATTTTCCTGACTATCCTCTATCATCAATACGTCATGTTCTTCCTTACTTTCTTCAACGCACATTTCACGTCCTGTTTCACTTTCCACTTCACGTCCTATTTCACTTTCCATTTCACGTCCTGTTTGACTTTCCATTTCACGTCCTGTTTCACTTTCCATTTCACGTCCTGTTTCACTTTCCATTTCACGTCCTGTTTGGCTTTTCATTTCACGTCCTGTTTGGCTTTCCATTTCACGTCCTGTTTGGCTTTCCATTTCACGTCCTGTTTGGCTTTCCATTTCACGTCCTGTTTGGCTTTCCATTTCACGTCCTGTTTGGCTTTCCATTTCACGTCCTGTTTGGCTTTCCATTTCACGTCCTGTTTCACTTTCCATTTCACGTCCTGTTTCACTTTCCATTTCACGTCCTGTTTCACTTTCCACTTCACGTCCTGTTTCACCACCATCTTCACCCCGTCTACCCCCCATAGTTAATTTTTCTAATGCCTCAATCCTCTTTTCTAGTTTTTTTAGATATTCCAATATTTGAGTACCAACCTCAGAGTTCACTATATTGACCTGAACCTTGTTTCCACAAGGTTTAATTTTTTCAGCTGCATTTCCTACTTTCCCTAGGCTCGCCTTAATTGTCTCTGTTCCTTTCTCCCACACATTGTTCATAGGCGCTGTCATTGGCTTCCAACTGTTTCCTCCATGTTCCTGCTGCACAATCTTTCCTTCCTTCGAGGATACATCTATCCTGCTTGTAGCACCCGTCCTCGAGTCTCTCAGATGAGGCTTCATGCGACATAGATAGGAACCAGCATTGTGGCTTCCTCGACAATTGCAACAAGATGGGACGATTTTTTCACCGTTTTTAATCTTGACTCTACACTCTCGAGAGTCGTGTTTCTTACCACAGTACCGACACCTGGAGTCAAACTGGCATTTCCAAGCCATATGTCCCCAACGAGAACACTTCATGCATAATATGGGCTCCTCAATGTATTTTACAACTTTCCTGTAGCCTAGTCCTTGCACAAAAATTCTTTCTGGAGCCTCACCCTTTACCAAGGCAACAACCTGGCTTTGTTTTTCACCACGAACACTGTTCCTCTTTGCCCAAACAACACTATCATTGTTGAGCAATAGATAATCAGGATCCAAATAAGTTGGATACTTAAACACTATGACCTTGGTGTACATCATACCTTTTTCCGGAGTAACCATCACAATATTCTCAAACCCATCCTTCGTTAGGTGTTCCACGGCCTCCTCTGTCCCAACTGTTATATAGGGCCGGTGAAGACCCTCCTTGAATAGTGGTTCATATTCAAAAAACTCCTTAGCCAAACGAACCGTCCACTCCAGCTTTTGATGGAAATTCAGTTGACATGCTGTAGGGAACAACAGCCTCTTCCTTCCATTAGTCTGCATCTCCCGCGTCCTGCTGAGCATGTCTTCATTTTTTGGTCTCTTTGTTATTTCCTCCTCACTGTCTTCGTCTCGCTGTCTTTGAATATTTCTCCGTTTATATCTGTTTACTACTGCTTGATACGGCCTAGTATCATCCTGTCTGCCATCCCCACTGTCACACTCTCCAGGCCCAGTACAGGATCTTCCATCACCTAGGCAGACCGCCTCAGCCATTTCCTCGATACACAAAGGCACTGTATCACTGCAACAGTCGAGAACAAATTCACAACATCTAGCTGCAGCAGCCACGTGCAAACACGAAGATGCGGAGCAACACGTCCTCCTCGCATCATGCAGCAGACCGCACTTGATGTCATACCATCTTGTGAGTTGGGGCATTAGAGAGACTCATGGCTATATAGCTCCTGTTATATATATACTTGAAAAATATGTTGAATTAGGTTAATTGATATCGTTGGAGAGTGTTATTCATACTTGATATGGTGTTTATATATATATATATATATATATATATATATATATATATATATATATATATATATATATATATATATATATATATATATATATATATATATATATATATATATATATATATTATTAAATATGACCGAAAAAGTAAGATTAATAATTCTAACACGAATTTTCTCAATCTTTCGTACATTATGCTTCACTGTTGGAGGTAAATCAAAAATCACTTCTCCAAAATTCATTTTTATTTCTAGTCTGACGCGACACGGGCGCGTTTCGTAAAACTTATTACATTTTCAAAGACTTCACAAATACACAACTGATTAGAACTTGCGTTTCCCTGATTTTATATCTACATTTGAGTGAGGTGGGAAGGGTGATGTGGCATTACATTTGAGTAAGGTGGGAAGGATGATGTGGCATTAGAGGATATTAATAGGGTATTAAAAGTATCAACACAAGACAGAACACGAAACAATGGATATTGAATAGAAGTGTTTGTAGAAAGCCTATTGGTCCATATTTCTTGATGCTTCTATATTGGAGCGGAGTCTTGAGGTGGGTAGAATATAGTTGTGCAATAATTGGCTGTTGATTGCTGGTGTTGACTTCTTGATGTGTAGTGCCTCGCAAACGTCGAGCCGCCTGCTATCGCTGTATCTATCGATGATTTCTGTGTTGTTTACTAGGATTTCTCTGGCGATGGTTTGGTTATGGGAAGAGATTATATGTTCCTTAATGGAGCCCTGTTGTTTATGCATCGTTAAACGCCTAGAAAGAGATGTTGTTGTCTTGCCTATATACTGGGTTTTTTGGAGCTTACAGTCCCCAAGTGGGCATTTGAAGGCATAGACGACGTTAGTCTCTTTTAAAGCGTTCTGTTTCGTGTCTGGAGAGTTTCTCATGAGTAGGCTGGCCGTTTTTCTGGTTTTATAGTAAATCGTCAGTTGTATCCTCTGATTTTTGTCTGTAGGGATAACGTTTCTATTAACAATATCTTTCAGGACCCTTTCCTCTGTTTTATGAGCTGTGGAAAAGAAGTTCCTGTAAAATAGTCTAATAGGGGGTATAGGTGTTGTGTTAGTTGTCTCTTCGGAGGTTGCATGGCTTTTCACTTTCCTTCTTATGATGTCTTCGATGAAACCATTGGAGAAGCCGTTATTGACTAGAACCTGCCTTACCCTACAGAGTTCTTCGTCGACTTGCTTCCATTCTGAGCTATGGCTGAGAGCACGGAGCATATATATATATATATATATATATATATATATATATATATATATATATATATATATATATATATATATATATATATATATATATATATGTTGTACCTAGTAGCCAGAACGCAGTTCTTGGCCTACTATGCAAGGCCCGATTTACCTAATAAGCCAAGTTTTCAAGAATTTCAATATTTTTTTCATTTTTTTTCTTATGAAATGATAAAGCTATTCATTTCATTATGCATGAGCTAATTTTTTATTTGAGTTAAAACTAACGTAGATATATGACCGAACCTAACCAGCCCTACCTAACCTAACCTAACCTATCTTAACCTAACCTAAACTAACATAACTAAATCAATAATTTATGTTCCTAATATAATATAATAATAATATTTTAAATAAACCAATAGGAAACAAATTGAAAATAAAGAAAATCTCTCGGCCTATTAGGCAAATCGGGCTTTGCATAGTAGGCCGAGAAGTGCGTTCTGGCTATACATTCACAGGGTGAGTGACGCTGCGCAGTAAATTCGTCCTCCGGAGCAAATTAAACCAAGATATATAGCCTATTGTGTTTTCTTTTAAATCAAATAAATAAGTTATTAGATTATTTAATAAATAAATTAATAAATAACTAAAATAAAAGACGATGAAAGCGTCTGACCTTCCACCATAACAAACGTTCAACTACACATCCCAACACCTACCTCGACGACTCTTTCTCACCCTATACCCTAGATTTAGCTAACTGTACTAACAACATTATTTTTAAGAACAATATAATATTTAATATCAATATTTAACATCAACGAAATTTTCCCTTTCAAACTTATGTTCTCTTTTTCACTCTCTCACTCGACTTCTCAGTTGAGTATCTGTAAATATATTAATACAATTTATACTTTATTTGTATTGTATGGGGAACATAATTAGTATTTAGTTATTTATTAAAAAATATTATATTTAACTTTTTTCATAGCTGGTTAAGGGAAGAGTGAGGGTGTTAGAGTTGTGTTGTGTTGTGTTGTGGTTAGTTGTGCTGCCAGCTGATGAGAGCAGCAGCAGGAGGAGGAGGCTGCTACACCTGTAACTCACAACTCACCACACCTGTAACTCACAACTCATACGTTTCCCCTCTCCTCATCACCTCACAATGGCTGACCAAGACATCTTGACAACGCTCAAGATTCTCATCATCGGTGAGAGTGGCGTTGGGAAGTCAAGGTGAGACCAAGATGTCATTTTGGTGTGGGTGGTGATGTCTAGGGTGTGTTGATGACGTTATCTGGGGCTGTGTTGATGATATCTAGGGCTGTGTTGGTGATATCTAGGGCTGTGTTTATGATATTTGGGGCTGTGTTGATGATATCTAGGGCTGTGTTGATATCTGGGGCTGTGTTGATATCTGGGGCTGTGTTGATATATGGGGCTGTGTTGATGATATCTGGGGATTGTGTTGGTGGCGATATCTGGGGTGTGTTCTTGACAATGTCTGGGGTGTGTTGTGTGGGTGTTCTTGACAATGAATATTGCGTGTGTTTTGGTGGGGTGTATTGCATGGGTGTTACGGAGGATGGCTGAGTTGAATATACTGTAACTGTTAGTTATAACTGTGCTCGTCATGTGCCTTGTTTATCGAACTTTGCACATTGCTGACCAGTATTGACCAGGAAGGGTATGGTGCATCTTGGTGTAACTGTAAGTTCATTGTAAACTTTAGTCCATGGCAATGTTCTGGATTAATATATACCAATTGGTCATTCTGTAAGTTATTATGGTGAATTCTCACCTCAAGAGTAGTCCAATCAGTTGGACTTGACGGTAGAGTGACGGTCTCGCTTCGTGCAGGCCAGCGTTCCATCCCCGACCGTCCAAGTGGTTGGGCACCATTCCTTTTCCCCCCTTTCTCATCCCAAATCCTTATCCTGACCCCTTCCAAGTACTATATAGTCATAATGGCTTGGTGCTTTCTGCTGATAGTTCTCTTTCCTTCATCTCAAGAGTGTGTTGGCATGTGGGTTGGTAGTGTGTGTTTTGTGGTGGGTGTATGTTGGTTAGAAAACCAGGTACACAGACAATATGTTTTGAATTAAAAAATACAGAACATATTAGATTTATGGCAGACATACAGTAATTATGGGGGTCCACTACACATAAGGGGGCATAAAGGGAGTGTATGGCACTCAACCCATAAATCTGAATACAAAATGTGAAGACATTTCGGTTCATTTTGGACCAAGTTGTCTAATAATCTAAATGATAATGGTCCAGGACAGTCCAAAACCTCATCACTTCCCCTGTTTTCAGAATTGACAGTTGGGTGCCTAATTTTCGATCATGTTATTGTGATTTATTGTCTGCAAGAGAGAGTAATGAGTGGAACCTAAAATACCCACCCTCCCTAGCCCAAAATAGTAGGGAGAATGATGCATATGCTTAATATTTGTCAGAGTTTTGTTTTAGCAGTGCGGTACTTTTCCAAGAATGCCAGAGTCTTGTAGTACAGTGGTCTCCACAGTCCGGTTACAACTAAGCGGTCTCAAGTTCAATTCCTGCAGTGGGACAGAAACGTTTGGGCATGTTTACGTTCACCTCATCCATGTGGGTGATAGACAATTGATGTGGGTTTCATCTTGGGGAAGGTCGAGAGTTGGCCCAAGAAGACCTCAATAAGCCAAACAGGCTTCCTGTCCCTGGTTGTGGGAAACTGTATTTCTTGGTGGAGGTTTAAATGTGTTGTAGCCTTGTATTGTATTTAGGGCAGCTTGCACTGGTATAGAGTATATTTTTTATATCAAGTACTTCCTGCCTCATAATAAATGCAAGGCTCTTGTTCTCGGTAGGTATTGGGTCTTTCCAGGTATGTGGCGTGGGCTAGTGTGACCAGCAGTGGCCAGTGCTAAAACTCAGAGAAGCTACTGAAGAGCTGACCTCTCACAAGTCAAGCCTGGCCTCAGGCCAGGTTTGGGGAGTAGAACTACTCCCAGAACTCCATCAAGCAGGTCAAGCAGGGTTCTTCAAAAATAATATTTCATGGTACAGTAGTTAAATTATGTCATGTGTACAGTACGGTATTTTGAAGCATCAAAGCTGGAAGGAATGCATCAGATTCCTATAGGATACAGTGGGTTTAAGGAAAAAATTGTGGCAGATTTCAATTCATTGAAGTTATTTTGTTATTAATAAATTCAAATCAGTATTTCTTCATTGTTTTATATTTTGGCAAAAACATGAGATCATCTACAAATGACATTTAATTCAATTGTATCAGTATTTGTTTCCTCAAGTAATTTCACCAATTTTTAAATATTATGTGCCATGCATATCAAGCATGTCATATTCATAACTATTATACATGTCTGAATGACACGTTATTTCATCAACATAGTTTTTCATCCTGCTAATTTACTGTTGTTTTGACATTGTGTTAATAAAACCTTATTTTATAGCACATAACATGTGCAGTATTATTAGCTTTTATATACAGTACATAATAATGTGTATTTTGAAATGCGTCCTATTTTTCCCATAAGATTCTTACGAAAAGCCTACAGGATTAAAACTTACATGGTATCTCAGCGAATGTATCTGTATATAATCCGAATTTAACCAGCATGAAATCACATGAACAAATCCACAAGGTCCGTCCATGATGAGGGGTTTCAAACCCTCATCACAGCCCTTGTGAATTTGTTCATGTGATATATCACACTATTGTGATTTCTGTGTGTGTAATGAAATATCGCGTTTGGTTCCATGTCATCGTTTGTGATCTGTGTCCTGGTTGGCACACTGATGACACAACAAACTACCTCTGCTCTCTCTTGCATCTTTATTTTGTATCCGAGAGAATCACTGTGCACGAGGGTGTTAGAAAATTGTAAACTCAAAGTAAATGGGTCTGTATTATACTGTACTGCATTATTGTTAAATGTGATTGATTAATTTTACTAGATAAGATAGGCTTATGCAGTGTTGTAATTATCTTTTTATTTTCAGCTTGCTACTACGTTTCACAGATGACACTTTTGACCCAGAGCAAACTGCAACAATCGGTGTTGACTTCAAAGTTAAAACAATTTCAATAGATGGAAACACAACTAAATTAGCAATTTGGGTATGTATTTTGGTCTTTGGTTAAACCGGTTTCTGGTTATTTACAAAAAAAATATTGATGATTGATTTATTATATACTGTACGGTACAGTACTTCCGATTCTCCTTTCCCATAATAATAATAAGATATATCAGGTGGGATTTTTTGTGTTTTTAAACTGTGCAGTACTTTTGTTGACCCTCAGAGTGGCTGAGAAAAATTCATTCTCATACTGCAAGAAGTATCCATATACATACAGTATTGGACTGTTTTGCCAGATAATGTATTATAAAAAAATGACTAAGGAATAAAATTAAATTGTTCCTTCGCTTTCATATTTGATGTATTTTGAGTTGTTAATTCTGGATATATAAATGTAAACTTAATTATGAATTGTTGACAGAAGGATTGTGAATCGGCTCAGAAACTGACTTTCATGACTATTGCTGTTGTTTCATGTTACTAACACAGTGTTCATTGAAGCAATGTGCATTATTGTTTGTATATTTTGTCTTTTAACCTCTGCTTATGGCACTCAATGGGTGGTGCAAAAAATTATTGAAATTAGCAATGTTTAATGTATTTAAATTTTTTTTCACTCTGTGATTTGAAATGAAAATTGTTGCATTTGGCAATATTTTGCCATTTTTCATCTTTTTAAATAATTTCAGTTAATGTTAATAATTCATTAACCCCTGCACCATGAAGTTGTCACATGAAACAGGTGTGCAATGCAGGAGGTCAAATATGTATTTTATCCTAATATAAAGCAATCTTTGAAAGAGTGCTCAGACATAAGATCACAAAATACATGGAATCACAGCATCTCCATAACCCTGGACAACATGGTTTCAGAACAGGGTGCTCTTACCCATCACAGTTGCTGGACTGCTATGACATGGCCTTAGATGCCATGGAAGACAAGCAAAACACTGATGTAATAATTTTCACAGATTTTGCAAAAGCCTTCGACAAATGTGACAATGGTATTATTGCATGCAAAATTTGTTCCAAAGGAATTACTGGAAAAATAGGCAGGTGTTTCTACAATTTCCTGACTAACAGAACCCAATGTATAATAGTCAACAAAGTAAAATCCAGACTGATAACCATGAAGAGCGCAGTCCCACAGGGTATTGTGCTTGCCGCAGTACATTTCTCATTCTTATATTGGATGTAGACAAGGACACAAACTATAGTACCATATCATCCTTTACAGATGATACTATGATTTTTATGATAATAGACAACATAGAGGACACAGCAAATCTCCAATCAGATGTAAATCAGGTCTTTCAATGGGCTACAGAAAATAATACTATATGGTATTTAATGAAGAATTGTTTCCTGCTCCTGCGCTACAGAAAAAACTGAAAATACACTATAAAAACAGAAACCATGTACAAAATGCAGTCAAATCATACCATAGAACAAAAAAGCTTGTAAAGAATTTGGGTGTACTCATGTCAGAAGACCCTACCTTTAAAGAACACATTTAAGTACCTGTCATAATTGCAAGAAAAATGACAGGTTGGATAACAAGATCCTTTCAAAGAAGAGATGCTATACTAGTGATGATACTTTTCAAGACGTTAGTGCTCTCTAGAGTGGAATACTGTTGCACAATGACAGCCCTCTTCAAAGCTGGAGAGATTGTGACATGGAAAGCATGTAGAGATCCTTTACTGCTAGAATCCACTCGGTAAAACATCTAAAATATTTGGACCAACTAAAATGCATAAATGTGTATTTTCTAGAGAGCAAGTGGGAGAGAAACATAATAATTTATACATGAAAAATATTAGAGGGGTTGGTATCAACTCTGCACACAGAAATAACATCACGTGAGACCAGAAGTGTCTCATGTGATGTATACAATATACAGTGCTTCCTAGTACTCTGCAGAACTCCATATGAGTGCCACCGACCACACCTTCCCATATGATTGTAGTGACTTCTTTTGAGATACTGTATACTGTACTAGAGTATACAGTATTGAGATTCATTAATGTTGAATCATTTTCAGTGTTGAATTGACTTTGAATCAGTGTTAGTTTTGGGAAGTCACTAAGTGGCCCCCCAGATATGTGCTTCATTATAATCAATGCTCTGCTTTTACTGATCTACCAATATTTTTTAGTCAAATTGCCAGAACTTGCCAATATTTTGTACCTGACTTTATGTTTTGGATATAACAACATCTGCATATTTCACACACAGGATACTGCAGGACAAGAAAGATTTCGCACATTAACACCAAGCTACTACCGTGGAGCTCAGGGAGTTATTCTCGTTTACGACGTAACCCAGAGGAACACATTTGCCAAGTTAGAGATGTGGCTTAATGAATTGGATACATATTCAACTAAAACAGACATTGTCAAGATGTTAATTGGTAACAAGATCGATAAGGTATGTTTTATGATTTTAAATTTCATTCTACTCTTATTAACAAGTTTGTTGCACTGTACGTCAGGGTTCTCTCCACAAGCGTAGAAAATGTGAAGTAGAACAATATAATCCACTGCACAGAAAAATTACATTAACGTGATGTGTCGGTGAAAAATTTAGTAGGAGCCATAAAGAGGATTGATACCTATGCTGTGGCCTATGTAGGCCTATATTCATGGCCTATGACTAGGCCATGAAATGGTCAAAACGATTACAACTTGCGATTCATTTGAATTCCAGGTTGCAATCCTTTTGTGGCCTAGTCTAAGGCGTTTGCTTGTGAGTACCCAGAGCATAAGTTCGAATCCTTAACATGGTTCCTATTTATTTTCTCATAATTCACTTTCAGTATAAAAATTAGTATTACAGTGAGAGAAATAGAATTTGAAGAATTAAAATGTTTAAGTATCATACAGTATACTGTAGTTGAATCCCAGTTTTGTGCAAACACTGCACAAGAGGTTCCCGACTTAACAGCATTCATATTTACAATGGAAGGGAAACACACCAGGACCTAAGAAACCATGGGTGCCTAACATGGACCAGAACCAGAATCTGAACCCCCCTCTCAAAGAGATGAAGGGAAGCCTGGGGATTAGAGATCACTACAAAACCAAGAAAAATCCACCATAAAGCAAACAAGCAACTCCTTTGAATTTTTTTTAACCCTAATGATACTGCTAATACTCATTTCTGCAGCAAAATCCTGCCTTGATTAACTCACCCACCACCAGATGGTAGATGAGATGATCCAAGGACTTGGGCAGCCAGCCAGCTCATTCAGTTGCGTGGTGTGATCGATGACATGGCCATCTATCACCTTTTTACTTTTATAAGTGGTGTTGGTTATTCATGAAATAAATCTCATGTGTGGACCTATTATTTTGCTTTTTGTTCATATTTTGCTACTGTGTGTTGTGCGCTACATACTTTGTACAGTATGTACTCTGACTTAACAGTTTGCTATGGCAGTTGTGGCCAGGTGTTGTGTTCCCTTGTGGCTGGCTTGTGTTACCCTGTCCCTCCAAGAGTTATCAACTCTGTAGGATTTGGGTTGTCTCTTCTATGAGCTGCCTCTTCCTAAGGTATATTTCCGTTGAGAAAGACGTAAGCTTTGGGAGACGAGAGAGGTATCCAATAATTTATACGTGGAAAATACTGGAGGGCCAGATCCTAAATTGACACAGTTAAATAACAACATACCGGAGTGAACAATATGGAAGGAAATTCATTATATTGCCAGTGATGAGTAAAGGTACCATAAGCACAATCAAAGAAAACTGTATGATCATCAGAGGTCTACAGTTGCTCAATATTTTCCGCAGTGAGTATAAGAAATATTGGCAGAAGAAATGCGGATGTCTTCAGGAGAAAACTGAATACTGTAGTTTTCTTCAAGAAGTGCCAAACTAAGCGGACTGTAGTGGATATGAGGTCCTGCAGGCCACTCCAAGCAACAGCCTGTTGGACCCAGCTCTCACAAGTCAAGCCTGGCCCTGGGCCGGGCTTTGGGAGTAGAAGAACTAGAACCCCATCAAAGTACAATCAAGGTAGGTTACCCTGTTAATGGAAAGTGCTAATATTTAGCAATTTAGAGAGCTTTTGCAACAGGCTGTTGGAAAAGCTCTCAGACTGTCCTGCAGGACCACATAAGGTAGGTTACCCTGTTAATGGAAAGTGCTAATATTTAGCAAGGCTTCGCCAATCCTCTTAGCCAGTAATTGCTGGTGTAGTTCTCAGGGCACACGTCAGAGATTTTGGGCCTTGGATGGGCACTCTTGCTGTGTTCGTCACTACCTGTTGAAGCTGCATAACATTGTTGGACTTTAACTTCTGTTTTTGTTGAGCCACCGTCCTTGTTGGTGACTCACTAGGTGGTGGTTGTGCTGCTAGATGGAGCCTTCTGGTTCCACCTTATACAGCCTTTTTTTTTTTTTTTTTTTTTTTATAACTTGACTGGCAGGTGGTGGACCATTGTTGTTCATGGAGAAAATTGAGCAATTGATATTGTATGCATGCCAAGTTTGCTCGTTCCCCTTCTTTTGCCTATTTACCTGAGGGCCATTACCACTAGTGGTCTCGACAAAGACGAAGCCAGTGGCTTGTCGAAGGGCCCCCTATTTGCCTAGGTAATCTTTTTGAGTTTAATGTTCAAATTCAAGAGTGTCTTGGCATTTATGGCTTTGGCAGGAAGTTTAGAGAGCTTTTGCAACAGGCTGTTGGAAAAGCTCTCAGACTGTCCTGCAGGACCACATATCCACCACAGCCAGGTTGGTCCAGCATTTTTTGAAAAATATCTAGTTTTCTCTTGAAAATATCGACAGTTGTTCCGGCAATATTTCTTATACTCGCTGGGAGTATGTTGAAGAACTGTGAATCTCTGATGCTTATACAGTGTTCCCTGATTGTGCCTATGGGCCCCCTGCTCTTCACTGATTGTCTCTGCATTTTCTTCCATATCATTCAGCCCAGTATATTGTTATTTTACTGTGTAGGTTTGGGACCTGACCCTCCAGTATTTTCCTCACATATATTATTTGATATCTTTCTCATTTTCTTTCTAGTGGGTAAATTTGGAGAGCTTTGAGACAAGGCCAGAAATCGAGGTGCTTTATCGTGTCTATGTACTGTATTTCGTATATGTTCTCTGTAGGCCCTCTTATATCAGCAATCTCTCCCGCTCTGAAAGGGGAAATGAATATTGAGCAGCACTCAAAACAGGATAGGACAGCACAAGTGATTTGGCTTTGTTTTCTTAGTTTCTACCATTGTGTTATCCATTCTATTATTGTACCATTGATTCCATGAGCTTGTAATTTCATTGGCAGCATTTCATGTGTGGTATCTTATCCAAGGCTTTAGGAAAATCCATGTATACTACATCCACTGGAAGGGCCTTGTTTGTGAAGCTGGTTACCATTATCTATTTATCTGGCATCAGCAGCTGCCTCATCTGTGTTTTAATCAGTTGACCTGTCTGCCTTCCCTGTTGGTTCTGGCTCTATCATAGGGTGGAAGGGAGGAGAAAGCAAGAGAGGCAAGGCAACGGGGTCCTTCCTTTTATTAACGTTATTTATTTGGTGTGTACATTAGGACTTGGTATCTGGGATTTTCGGAATTCCTAAGTGACACTTGTTTTCTTTTATGTGCTCACCATCATCTAGAGGGAATGTTGATTTTGTCTCAGAGTATTCTTTCTCTTCTAAAGGGAAGGCTCTTGGGCCTGTGTTTCTGGCTTCATGTGGCAGCTTGTTAGTACATTACATATGATTGCAGAATGAGCTGGATTTCTCCTCCGCAAGCTTGCATGTGCATTTCCGGGACCTGCTTCTTGGTGCAGTAACCCCACTTCAGGTTTGAGGAGTTTGTGTATTGCTCCATTTTAGGTGTTGGTGGTTGTGTCAGTGCTGATGGTTACATGCGGGTTTTTGCATATTGCTTTCAGGTTGAGGTTCTGGTCCCATGTTACTTTGTAGGCCTGTTTGTTTAAGAGATTGGATGAGTATTGATGATTTTAAAGTTTATTTAAACAGAGCCAGTGTCCTCAGATAGCTCTGACAGTCTCAAGTACAGGCAAATGTCTACCAACTTTTATCTACAGTTGGCCGCATCTGACAATTTTGTTTTGGGTACTTTCCAAGAAGTGTAGCCAACACACATGACGGATGTAACGAAAGTGCTCATGAGTGTGGTGTGCAGCCAAAGGACTCAAAATGACTAGAACTGTACTTAAGAAATTGTATGGGTTTTAATTAGTGTTGTAGAACTTAATTTGCTCATAATTCAGCATTCTTCCCTGACTGTGATACCGTTTCTGAAACATGTCATTGCTGGGATACTTGTCTCGATGAGCTATAAACAAACTACTGTGTATGTGGTTGTGTGTGGTTTTACTGTGTATGGTCAATCAAATGTTTAATATTACATTACATGCTAGTATAGTGTATCAATGTTAATTGACCTTATTTGTTCCTTAAAAGGCTTTAAATGTTTTGTTAGTATGAAATGTTTAGTACAATATGTAAATAACATGTTTGTTTATTTGTATTTTAAGTAAGTGTCTATCATGGCAAATTTAACATCTTGGTGAATTTTTCAGGAAAAAGTTGAAGTGAGTAGAGAAGAAGGCCTTAAATTTGCTAGACGCCATGCTATGCTGTTTATTGAGGCTTCAGCCAAAACCAAGGATGGAGTACAGTGTGCCTTTGAAGAACTTGTCCATAAGGTAATATCAAGTAAAGATAAAAAAATGATAGTGAATGCGTTATTGAACGGCAAATGTGTATTGCATAATTTGAGGCGAGGCATATTCGTATTTACTATCTTCTTGCCTACATCCTTCTTCTGAGAACCTCATGCATGTTTTGTGTGTTGTTGTAACTTTTAACCTTTGCTCCATTACATTTGTATGGCTTTGTATTTTCTGTAGCATTCATTTGTCATATATTGATCTTGATTTATATGGCTTTTCAATCAATTGCATAATGAATAACACAGAATTGCTCGCATTGGCAATGTATAGCTATTCTCAAGGGCACAGAGACAGACAAAGTGACGACTACTCACCTGAAATGACGAGGATAAGAATTTGGGATGGGGGAAAGGAATGATAGTCGACTAGTGGGGCTGGACAGTAGAGTGACAGTGTTGCTTAATGGAGGTTGGCATTGAATTTCCGACTGTCCAAGATGATTCTCACCATTCGTTTTTTCCATGTCCCATCCCATCGCAAATCGTTATGTGGATCCCTTCCAAGTGTTATATACTCATGATAGTGTGACGCTTTCTTGTAATACTGTAGTAGGGCTTCCCCTGAAGTGATTCAGCTGAACGTCTGTTGCATGAGTGAATTTGATTTGATGCCATGAGACGTAAAGTCATTTTCAGATAATCAGTGCGGAAATATCATCAGTTGCTGTCTTGTGTGAATCATTTAAATATAAATAGGAAAAGAGAACATTTACATGCATTACAATGTTATGAAAAGAAAGCATACAATATAACTAATTTCTTTACTAAGTTTCAAGCAATATAACCTAAAACTATATCTTTTGGCAGCTGATGTTTTAATTTTCGTGAGGTGGTGAGCAGTACAGTGACTCAGGAGATTGAAGTAGTGTGGAAAGGTAGCAGCATGTGTTGGTGTGATATAATATTGTATTCTTATCCTTATGAATCTTGTGGCAAGTGTTATCTTTGTGTTCTCTCTCTGTTTTCATTTTGATATATGCATCTTGAATGATAAAAAAATAACCAAAAAAATTGGACAGGTTAACAAGCCATAGCGTTAAGTGAAGAGCGTGGACATACATGTTGAAAGGACATTGAGGGGAGGGACGACTTTCTTAGACATTAAGTGTGGTTGGGTGCTACTTAACACAATAGAAACAGTTTTAGGCCTTCTTTATCTTCATATTTTTGCTCATCATTACAGTGTTGAACAATGGATTTGCTGTGCTCTTTGTCCACATCCCTCCTGAATAGTCAGAAAATGTTGCATTTGTGTTATGCATGTTAAGAGTTTCATGTCATTTGCATAGTTTGTGTTAATTATGTTTTCCTTTGAGCATCCTGGAGGTATCCTCAATTAGTTTCCTCCTCCGTTGTTTATACACGCTAATGTTAAGGAGAAATGAAACCTCACATTTTTCGTTATACAATGTTATCCAATATGAAAATGTAGTGGCTGATAATAACACCAAATAATGTGTAAGTTTTGAACATGTTTACCAATATTAATTAAACAGGTGATGTACAGGAAATGAATTTTAGTAGGTGACAGTAGGTTACAATGAAAATTGGAAATAATTGTTCAATGTTTGTTTGAAAATAGATTATCCAGACACCTGGCTTATGGGAGATGGACCAGAGATCACAGGGCGCCTTCAGCGTGTCAAGCGAGCCTTCAGACAAGGAAGTGTACTGTGGTTACTGCTCTCTTCTGTAGAACGCATTGGCGGCCACTATTGTGACATCGTGCGCAGGAACATGTTGATACCTTGCGTCACTCTATTTTGAGTGAGTTTATCAAAGTGTAATAGCATTGGTCATTATGGGGTGTAAGTCATTCTTTGTGAGAAGAAAATAATGTGAATAAAAGAAAAGGTAAAATGAAATACATTGTTTGGTAAGAGTTGAATTTGAAATGCAATGATTTAGGATGACTTTGAGTAGGCTGGTGGCTTGGTTACTGGAACGTATGTCTATACACAGTGTGTATATATAGAAACACACTGTGTATGTATATATATATATATAAATGCTTAAAGTAGTGATAAATCTGTTTTAAATGAGTTATTTGTAAAGAGGATGAGTGTGTTTGTTCGCAATGTGTAAACAGTGTTAAAAATCAGCTCAACATATTAAATGTTTGAACAGTTTGTTTTTGTAAATTGTGCAATAATTATTAATGTTTATATTGCATTTACTAGTATGAGAATCTGAATGTGTTTTAAGACTGTTTCGTAGTTGTGTGCATATTTGTTTGTATTTACTAGTCGAGTATAGGCTCAGTGCTTATAGATGAATTTGACACTTAACCTTGTATGTTATGAATAAATAAAATCGGTTACCCATTAGTGTCATGTGTAGTAGAGTTGTATTGATGCACCAGAGAGTGAAAAAGAAAAATTTGTGGCACACCTTCAGTTTTTGACAAAAGCAATGGTGTCGGTATGTTATTGCTATATACTTAGAATGGCTGAAAACAACACATTTCACTTAAACCAATTGACCTTTCTAAATTGAAGTATGCCAGTTGATAATACAATATATTTAACCCTGTCATTGGAAAAAAAAAAAAAAAAAAAAGTCAGGCATGTCAATGTTTGAAGTTGAGGCAAAATAGACAAACGACAAAATGAAATGTGTAAAATGACACTCATTTTAAGATGAGTAGGAGGGGGAGCAATGAATGTGGGCCATGTAATAGTGGGTGCAGGTACTGTGTGATGAAATAAATTTTTAATATTAAAAGTTCCTGCAATAGATAGTTTGTCTTCCTTATTGTATATATATATATCAGCATATATATATATATATATATATATATAATATATCAGCAAATAATAGTTATATATATAAATGTAAAAAAAATATATATATATATGCTCAAGTGACGATCAGAAAACACTGATCATTTGTATGCGGAAAAAGCACAAAGAAATGGGGAAGAGAGATGAACGTTTTGGGCTGTTAAAGCCATTGTCATCACCACAATGTGGTGATGACAATGGCTTTAACAGGCCAAAACGTTCATCTCTCTTCCCCATTTCTTTGTATATTTTTCCGCATACAAATGATCATATATGTTATTCTGATCGTCACTTGAGCATATATATATATATATATATACTATATATATATATATATATATATATATGTATATATATATATATATATATATATATATATATATATATATATATATATATATATATATATATACTGTATATATATATATATATATATATATATATATATATATATATATATATATATATATATATATATATATATATATATATATATATATATATATATATATATATATATATATATATATATATATATATATATATATATATATATATATATATATATATATATATATGTATATATATATATATATACTATATATATATATATATATATATATATATATATATATATATATATATACTGTATATATATATATATATATATATATATATATATATATATATATATATATGTATATATATATATACTATATATATATATATATATATATATATATATATATATATATATATATATATATACTGTATATATATATATATATATATATATATACTGTATATATATATATATATATATATATATATATATATATATATATATATATATATGTATATATATATATATATACTATATATATATATATATATATATATATATATACTGTATATATATATATATATATATATATATATATATATATATATATATACTGTATATATATATATATATATATACATATATATATATATATATACTATATACTATATATATATACTATATATATATATATATATACACTGTATATATATAATATATATATACATATATATATTATAGAATATATATATATATATATATGAATATATATTGAAAATATATATAATCTATATATAGAATAGTTAATTTATATATAGATATGAATCTATATAATATATTATAATATGAAATTGATTATATTATATTATCTATATATATATGAATCTAAAATATAATATAAAATAACAAATATATACAGGTACAGTATATGTAAAATATAGTTTTAGATTTATATATATATATATATAATAGATTTTATAGATTATAAAATCCTAATATATATAGATATATATTAGGATCTATATGAAAATTATATACATATATCTATATATATTCTAGATTCATATGAATCTATTATATATTTAATATAGATTGTAACATCTCAATATATATCATATATTATAATTCTTAGAATCTATATAATATATATATATAGAATCATATATATATCTTATATAATATAGATAATATATATGAATCTAAATATATATATATATATTTTTGTATTTGAATCTAAAATATATACAAATCACCACACATTACAATCTATATTAGATATAATCCATAAAAATATTAAAATCTAGATATTCATATTATAAATTGAATATAATATAGATTCATATCTAGAATGTAATATTTTTATGGATTATATCTATATTATAGATTGTAATATTTGGGGTGATTCATATAGATCATATATTTTGATTATTATATATAGAATCTATTATATAGACTTTGATTCTATTTATAAACTATTATAATATAGATTCAAACTATTATATAGACTATATTGATAAATAGATTCTCATATATTAATCTTTATTTGTATATCTAATATTTATAGACTTTAGATTATATCACTACTCAGTGTGTATTGATACTGTAGAATATATATGAAAATAGTACTGTTAAACAAGTATGTACTTGCATTACATCTCAATATGGATTATTACCATTAGTGAACAGGTGAAGACAATTAAGGATGTTTAAACACTAATACCTTCATTAGTTTATTCTAATCAAGACATCATGTAACATTGTATTTCACCCAAAATGCATCAACATGGCCTACCATTGCCACGCATATGTACATAATAGTACTTGACCTACCATTACATTCATTGATGCGTGTAACAATTTTGCCGAGAACTCCAACACAGGGTTAATGCCTACATTGTCAATTATTGTGTCCATACTGACACAGTAATCCTGAAACTACAATTATCTGCCTGTGTATGACAACTACATGCATTTTCAATGTTTGTAAAGTTGAGTATATCTCATATGTATATATACATGTCTTTTGCAGACTACCCCCCCCCCCCCCCCTGATCTTATTGTACACTAAATATTAAAGGTAATTGAGATCAATTAGTTAACAGACACCTAGTTCAACTCAAGCACATTATGTCCCACCTTTAACACTAATTGGTAATATGCATTGATTGTAAAGATATTAACATGACATTCCCATTACAAATTGTTCAACTTTTTGACACCAGACATCACCTCACCACTACTACAGCCTCTATGCAGTAAGCCCAATTGTGTTTTTGGCAACGCCTCGGTTAACAATTAATATCAACTATGATAGGAATTTGCCATCCACATTTCTAAATAAATGTACATCTACATTTCTCTCCACAAAATATTGGCTTGTAAGCACTTACATAGGCATCTTAAACTAACCACTTTTAATTTAATGTTTTGTAATATTACAAAACTTCAAAGTTAGGCTACATTATTTACACAATATTCTATAAACAACCCATCTCCATATGAAGTCAAACTGAAATTTTGCTAAATTAAAATAATTAGAGAAGTGTAATACTGTATCGGATATACCACCAATGTTGACATTTATTGTCTCATGTCAACATCACCCAAACATTCACTTGGTTCATGGCTAATTTGTTTCTTCTGTTTGGACATTGTGTTAAGGCACCCACATATAAACATCATGTAACATTTATTCCAGCCCATGTCATGCATGACATTTTGCAAATATTGTGCCATTTACTAAATGTCTACCAGTTTCAATCATTCAATATTGTCAAATTCACCAAGATTCTACATCACACATCCAAATATTGACAAGGTAATACAATTTAAAACTGTACATACAACCAATTACATAATCATGATGGCATATTTGAAATTATATTGGTATCAATTTCAATACTTAATAACTACACAACCTTTATTATTAGTATTGTGCCTCTCTTAAACCTGAAGGTGCTTCAAAATAATTTTGGAGTTATAATAGTATATAATTCCTTTTGTACTCTAGTTATTGGTATTAAATGTCTAATCTAAGCATTTTTATTTTATATATTTTTATCAATCAAAACCTATACAAATCTGTAAATATATTAACTAATTGTACATGCAGTACTTTGTCCTTTACCTTTAAAGCAAATGCCTTGTGCACTTAAAAGCAATAATATCACCTTGACTGAAAATACAGTTCATCAAGGCTAATGTGTGAAATTGCCACATTATTCCAGTTACTGACTAAGAGGGACATTCTATAATTAACTGCCCTAACTATTATGCTCTAATACTTTTTCCCACAACAAACATTTCCTAAACATACTGTAGTCAGTGTATTTCTCCAAATATTAGCAATATTTTTCACTGTGACCTGTCAAACTTATGAACAATCACAAAATGCCACTACGTGACATCTATGGCCATTGAAAACTACACTACATGTTGGTACCTACCTAAGTAATTTTTTTGGGGTATAAACACCAAACCTGGAAGGCTATGTAACTACATTTCGTACAGAATGTAATACAGCTAACTAATATCACCAAGATAAACTATACCAAAGTTGTGTATGGATCAACCCTACATCTCGCAGGATGGTATTGCCCCTACTACCACCCACATGATGCCTATGAAGAGTCCATGAAAATATTGTATAAACTTCTTGCCAGACCACTATGTAACGTACGCATGTCTTTCATATATGCACCTTTAACTATTTGAGTACCTCGGCCTATATCTATAGTTTGTGCAAAACTTCCCATTCAATTATAAGGATTTCCATCTATGAGTCCTGAATGCCTACTCATCCTGTCAATTGTAACACTTTCAGCCCTACTCAATTTAATGCTATTACTTGTCTATTAGTTACATTGTATCACCTTGTCCCTGCAACAGGCACTGTCAGACCACTACTCACAAGAGTAGCAGTATTACACGTACACACTTCATATTACACTATTAACCACTTTTCCCCAAGACTGACATGTACACCAATTCTTTATTTCCCATTTGTGACCGACAATAGCAAACTACTCAACCATTACATTCCCATCTGCTTTCTATGCAGACCAATTAACCCAATCAGCAAATATGTTGTACCAACTTTTATATACTTACACTCCATGCATATGTTCACCCACACCACTTTGCTAACCTATGCCACTCAGTATTGTCCTAGGGTGAAGTACAACGCTCTTTACTCTGATCTCTTTTCGATTACAAGGGGGTGTGGTGTTCTAAACCTATTTGCTACACTAAATATCAAGACTAACTTCAGGTATTCATTGTCCCTTTGATTTGAAAGTTCGTTCAAATTTAAAACAATTTGTACTGCCTCGCAAACGACCATTAGTACGATGCAGCATTAGCTTCATTCAACCTTCCACACATGTAGTGGTAGTACCATTACAATACCACACACTCCCAGACATACGTGATATTCTAACCCAAGCTCACCTTTCAACTTACTAAAGTTGAAACCTATCCCAGGCTTGGGTAAGAAGGGAAATCCTCCACTTACAAGTCTAACGTCTTTTGGTTATGTTGTTGGTTACATTACACACACTTTAGTGCCTTCTCAGATTTATTTGGTTACATCAGTCAGTTGTTGGCGTGTCGTACATGTTGCTACTAAGCCTGAAGCACAGTGCGGCCGGAGGAGCTCCATGCACGACAAGATCGTGGAAGCTTCAAGGTGGCATGAGTCTCCCGTCTGCCCGGCGTCTTCACATCTGTTGGAAGAATAACCACTGCTACATTTCTGAATTCAGGCTGTGCTTTAATTCATCCGTCTATACGGATGCTAACAACCACAATTCTACATAATTACATTTATAAAGTTACCACCTGTGGCTAATATAACTGAATCAACCCTATACCAATACCTTTGTAACGGTTCTATTGTTACGTAAAGTATGGTGACAAATAAACACAGACACTAAGATACTATATATATATTTGGTCGAATATACAGAAGTACACAGGTGATACGTTGGTGTGAGTTGAGCGCACTGAGCGTTGGTACAGTATCTCGCAAGTGTCTGCTCTAGACCACACTTTAAAGTAGACTAGCCAATGTTCGCTACACCGCTGCTTATATTGCTTGGGCAACACCTCACCGTGTTGCCCGGGCAACGCCTCACCTCATTCATCTCCAAAGGTTGACAGGAATATTAACACTATATTTGGAACGAGTATATTATTGGGATAATCTACTCGCTACACCTTTCAGTGGAATCAAATTACTTCTGCAATACTGATGAAAGTAGTTTACACAAAAGGATTCTAGGCCGCACTATTCAAAACTGCTACTCAACATGTTCATGTTCAACCCCATTGGGTATAATACTATAACCACTTTATACATTAAAATTTCTGAACCGCCTTACCAACTAATTAAAGTTAATTATAACTATATTTTGGGGGTAGTTAAGTCGTATGGCCAAATTGCCATGCCTTAAAAACTGCAAATTTCATTTAATTCTAAAATGTTCAACGCAAAGTTATCTAAGGGTAACTTTTTAAATATCGCTTACTTTGTGTGCATCGCGCCAAATACGCGCTTCTTCCCTTGGTAAGAAAAATGCTTCACTTGTAAATTCAACACAGCCACGTTGCTAACAGCTTTTGCACATTTTCAGTGTTACCATCACAGGTCTTGTCTCAGTTTCCAAGGCCACCAGTCACGTCATCTCAGTCCCAATACGACCTCATTGTGGTTCAAACAATCTGGAAAGTAGAAACGTTATTAACGTCAGCACATTTATTTTTATTTTAGTCCTGACTTCAGAACTAAAATAATATCTGCCTATATACCCTCAAGAATACGGGGGGTATACACCTCTAAAATTATTATTTTCAGGTAAGGGAGTACCACCTCTGGATGGAAGAAGGGGACCCTTAGCCTCGGAGGAAACCACACAACGTATTACAGGGAATGTTGGTCCCCTCCAATACACTTTGTGTACTTTCCTCCTACCACCCCCTTACCTTTTTTTTTTTTTTTTTTTTTTTTTTTTTTTTTATTATTACTTTTTTGTCCCTAGGTAATCACGTTCTGACGTATAAATTGAGTGTGCTCTAGAGGCCTGTTGGCCCTAGGGACCCATCAACACTTTCCACAACAAATTGGGTGCCAACCTCAGGGGCAACAAGACCGCTAACACTACAAGAGTTATACTAGTGTCTTACGCGACTTCTAGGGGCAAAATAACGCTCCGCTGCGCCTCAACGAGCAGGTGGACTCAACAGCCAATCACGTTTCACTTTTTCCATTGACGTCACAGTCTCGCCACCTGTACTCTCCCTGCTTATTGGTCCGCTCGACCTAATTGGACACTTTGGTAATACATACCAGAATAATTTATGGCAACTTTGAAATATATACCGAAAGGTATACCCCGCTTCTCGGTGAATACACACTGAGTTTAATTTAGTCATGGACTATGTTTAGGACTAAATGTATCCCTGCTGGTTGCCTAGCTGCTAAATTAGTGTTGTGACCTTAACAACCATAGACAGCCTGGTACATTAAGCCACACACCATTTTTGGAACTTATGACAATTTCTTCACTATATTACTCCGCCCGTCCTTATAAATCAATGCCAAATGCCCATTATTCTAGCCGCCAAACACATATTTCTTTACGAAGAATTTTTTTTTACATTCAACTCAACTTATTGTTTTATTATTAACAAAATTAGCTATAAACAGCAATGTGCTGCTACCCTATTCTATATGACATGTTACACAATCTCATTGTACATAAAAAACTAGCTATAGGTTCTACTAACATTCCCATCTCACAGGATGGTTAGTCATACATGGAATTAGGGGGAGATAATACCTGCCTTATTACAAAAACAAACCAGTTATGAACAAACAACTAGCTATAAGTTCATCCATTATTCCCATATCGCTACCAGCCTCAATACCAAAACAAATCAAATCGGAATACAAAATTAGGTCACAACATAAAATGTCAACCTCATCTATTAGCCTCCTGTAATCCTCCTCTAGTACAGGAAATCCCCTTCTGGAGCTGTATAATATCATCTACGTTACTGGGAACTTCCTATCTCTTGAACCAACAGTATAATCATTCAAAATCCCTAGCCAAATCAACAGCCATTCCAAATCAAAACTCAAAAACTTTCAAAATCAAATTCTTTCCGCCCAATACTAGCTGCATTTGAAAAACATTCGAGAGAATGGTCCTTAACTCTCTCCTCCATAGAATAAGAACCATGCTAACCCCCCATTTATATGGCTTCATGCATGGAAGGAGTGTATAGAACCAATCAACATCAACGAACTGGAACATACATACATTCAACCACCTGAGGAATATGAAGGGGGCTTACCTAATTGGCATGGCCTCTTCCTCCCACCTTCGTTTGTCAACTACCAAGGAAACCCCACTACTAGAAAACTTCTGGCAAGTGGCCAGCTTAGAGTGCAACTTCTGCCTTCTGCCAGCTTAGAGTGCAACAGGATCCTCGACGAGATGAGTCACAGCAACTTCCCCGCCCGCAGAATTGTGCACGCCAACACACTAGAATGCTTTGTGGACATCGCCCTCCTGAAGAAAGAGTACCTCGACCCAATATTTACCGAACAAATCACCTTCTCGGACTACGAAGATGACCCAGAAGGAACTCCAATACCCAAGCTGGAGGTACGACTATTCTACAGAAACTTCTCTTAGAACACCCAAATTCAGCATCACCATAGGGAAGGCGCCTCCTCCAAGCCAAACAAGAACATCGCAAGTGTACCAGGACGACATCACACCGTCTCATCACTAGCCTCCCGCCGCTTAAGAACTCGAACGACGAAAGCTACAGGCTTTGACCGAAAAAACATCAGTCCACGGTGGATAGGCCACCGAACTTTCAAGCCTCCTCTCTCCACATCCCAGATCCTCTTCCAACAATTTCATTGCCCCATCCTTCTTCCTCCCACATCCTCTCCATGCTCTATTGGACATCAAAGCAAAGACCTTCCTACATCTCAAGTCAGACTTTGATATTGCAAACCGACATGTTATCTTGAGTGAGTTTGCGAGAATGAATGTTGGTGGTCGGCTTCTTTGTTGGATCATAGGTTACTTATCCAACAGGGAGGTGTCCTCACTCCTACGTTATTTAATATCTTAATTAAAACGCTGTTAAACTCTGTAGCGACCAAACCCAACGTGCACATCATTAGCTATGCTGGTGATGCAAGATCTGCCAGCCAGCGCAGGCGATGAGTTACAATAACGTGGCTAAAGTAAGTTGACCAGACCACACAATCGACTCGAGAATGGTCCAGGACGGATCGAAACGTCGTCGTCCCTTCACCTTCTAGTGTGTGGTCTGGTCAACTGCCAGCCAGCTGTGTATTCTCTCTCACATTTTAACAAATTATAATGGTTTTGGATAAGAAACGCTTCTAATTCCTGGGATTAACTTTACCATTCTCTTCTGCATGCATTCAGGTGAATTTGTGTTTATTATATAAGACACTACAATCTAAATGAGGATTAAGGGCAAGATATAGCAGTCCCCCCGCACAAATTCAGTGAGTACAAATAGACATATAGCAGTACAAAAATCCCATTTAACATTGCATACAGCAAGTACAGCATATAATTGTTACATTCTTGGGGCAAAATTCTTGTAGCTCCTAAGTATACTGTCTATTATACCATTATCACACATCCAAACAATTTGATGTGGTACACTATTTATTTCCTTATTTCTATATTTTTCAATAAGGTGACACTCTAATACATAATGTTCTAAGGTGTGGGCGGACGGCATACTACATAATTTACACTCCTTATCTTTTTCACTGACATCAACACCGTATTGCCAGATATATTTATATCCTAATCGTAATCTCATGTAAATTGAATCCTTCCAAGTAGACTTTCCTTTACCATAAGTGAAGGACGAATTTGTATTTATTATTGAATAATTCTTAAGTGTGTTACTACTGTCCACCATTGCCATTCTCTTTATCATTTCTTCACCCTCCTGAATCACCTTGAGTCTTGTTTTTATTTGTTTCAAGGTTAACTGACATACAACATCAACAAGAGTTTTTTCAGTGGCTCTCTTCGCTATGTCATCAACTACCTCATTCAACAGTATTCCCACATGTGAAGGGATCCACATGAATCTTACTTTATACCCAGTTTTTTCTAGTCTCTTAACATTCTCTCTACACTCTATCACAATATTCTGATATACTGGGCGTCTGCTATTTAAAGACTCTAACGCTCCTCTGCTGTCAATAAAGAAGCAAGCATTTTTTCCACATTTGACTACTTCCTGTAATCCTGTTAATACTCCTTGGAGTTCAGCCTGCGTTGAAGAGACATTGTCAGTTAAGCGGCGTCCAATAACAGTATCTACAGTGCCGATGTCAGTGTACTCCCTGATCAAGACTCCACATCCTGCCTTCCCATCCCTAGCTACTGACCCATCACAATATACATGTAGAGTGTTTTCCGTAGGCAGTTTTCTAATTATACAATCATATGTTGCCCTCAGCTCTCCTATTTCATACATACTTTTTTTCTTATGCAAGGGAGTAATTACTACATCTACATTACAATCCTCCCATGGTGGTGTAAATTTTCTCTTGGGCACAGCAATACACTCTGTAATAACATCATACTTTATAACATTATAACATAATTTATTCATATATACTCTCTTCTTCATCATACACTGTTCACTACTTCCCACCTTTTGAACCGAGAGGATTAATTCATTAGCTCCCCCACCTCTCATTAATCTAATGGCAGAGGCTACATTTATCTCTGAAATTCTATCCCCAATACTCTGCAGATTCAACTCCATCCTCATTATCTCAATCATAGCATTTCTTGGGCATCCTAAGATAATTCTCATTGCTTCATTTTGTACCTTCTCCAACTTGCCCATCCTACCTTTACCAAAACAAGAAATGACAGGTGCAGCATAATCAATAAGAGATCTTACAGTACTCAAGTATAACATTCGTAGCACAGGGACTCCCACTCCCTTTCCACAGCATGCCAAGGCCTTCAGAGGTTGTAATCTCTTCCGACATTGACCCAACAGTCTGTTCATCTCAGCTTCCAAACTCTCATGGGTATATCCAACATATATGCCTAAATATTTATATATATTAACTCTCTCTATATTTTTATCGTTTATTTTCAAAACAATGGGGCTCCGACTTCTACATTCAAACTTAGTTTTGTGTTCATTAACCACCAGTCCCATATGGTGACACAGGTTTCCGAAATTGTCCAACACTGTTTGAACCTTTGAAATATCTTTGCCCTGAAATAAAATATCATCGGCATATATGATCGGAGTTACCCCATTTGAGTATCTCTCAGATGCTATCTTATTCATTAGTACATTAAACAGGGTGGGACTCAAAACTCCTCCCTGAGGTGTGCCGAGTTCAAAAGACCTCACACCTGACATACAACCTTGATACCACACCTGAGCCTTCCTTTCGTAAAGATAATCCCCTATCCAGCGCAATAATTTCCCTTTAACACCAAGACTAGCTAATTCATATAAAATAACCTCTTTGTTGGCTTTATCAAAAGCTCCTTGTAAATCAATGAAAATTCTATAATAATCATATTCATTAGCTAGACATTTAATAATACAATCAGAGGTACTTTTTCCTTTGAGGAACCCGAACAAATTACTAGACAGCTGATCACCTATTATATATAAAAGTCTATTTAAAATGATCCTCTCCATCATTTTACAAAAACACGAGGTTAAAGACACAGGTCTATACTCTCCATTGGCTTTAGGGATAGGGATGATCATAGCTTTTTTCCATTTACTGGGAATACTGCCCTCTTTATAACTAATATTAAAGAGGTCTAAAAGTGGGCTTTTCGTCATAGTGGCAAGTTCATTAAGTATTTCATAAGTTACTCCATCCTCCCCAGGTGCGGTAGATTTCCCAACTTTAATCGCCGTTATTAGTTCTTCTCTGGTAATACCTGTGCAAGTGACATCACCACTGTTACCTGCTATAAGTATAAAATCCTTTCTTAGATCTTTCCAAGAATCTAATGACTCTCTCGTTACAGCGGGTAATGAACTAAGTTTGGCAGCTTCCGCCCATTTATTTACGAGCTCATTTGCAATTCCTTGCGGGTCTGGATGTGCAACAAAATTGTGCTTTTTACCCCTTATTTTATTTACGTCTTGCCAGATTTCCTTCAAGTTTCTGTTACTCCCAACTTTCTCTGCAAATTCCTGCCAATACTTGCTCCTAATTTCCTTTCTCTTCTCCCCACACAGCCTAGCAACTGCCAGTAAAGCATTCTTCCCTTCCTCAGTCCTACCATTCCTATTCCAATCCCTGTGAGCTCTCCTCATTGTTAATGTCCACCCCTTAAGCATCTTATCATGTGTATAATTTTCTTTTCTGGGGGGATGCCTTTTTATACTAGATGGTTTCCGGTTCAATGTTGCATTAAATACATCTACCTCCTTAATTAAATCTTCATAAAATGCTTCTGCCGAAACCGGCTTATAAGTATCATACCAAGACTTAATATGGCCGACAAGACCCCTTAATTCTCCCTCATTAAACTTTAACCTTTTCCTCTGAAGGCAGGCATGCTTTTTATCTAGTTTAAGCTGTATTTGTAATGCAAAATGATCACTTAGCATTTCATCCACAGTAAGACAATTCCCCTCTATGCCCTCAGCATTTATTAAACAAGCATAATCTAATCTCCCTCCCCTCAAATGAGTAGGAGAGGGCTCGCCCAGCAGTTGAACATCTTCATGTTCCTGCAAAAACTGGTACCATCTGCAACCATTCCTATTTGCTTTACCCCTTGATCCTAAAGCTGGATGTCTGGCATTAAAATCCCCTACCACAAGTGTATCTTCAGAAAAGAAGGAATCTGGCAAGTATCGTAAATCAAGGGAGCTATCAGAGATGTATAGATTAATGAAATTTAACTCTCGGTCCTTTAATTGTATCCGCAAGCTAATACTTTCAATACCTCTATATCTCTGAGGGATTCCAGTTATCTCGGCAGGTATGGTACTTTTGACATAACATGAGACCCCCCTAGTTCCTCCATCAGCATATAAGTGAAAGCCTCTATAGCCATTTAGCCTCAGTATGCTACCATCCCTATCCCCAGTTTCCTGGAGTGCTACTATGTCAATATCCTCTCTAAGAGTATAATAGTGTACATCCACTGCTCTAGTTTTTAATCCATTAATGTTCCAAGATAATATTCTCAATTTACTTTCATCCATGATTAATAATAAAACTACCTTTGCCCTGTCCGTCACATTCCATGAGATACAAGAGTACCTTAGAAACTTCCTTCCAACACCGTAACATTTTTTCTTTCTCCTCACCTTCACAACTACTACTAACATCGAAGGTAATATTTTTCATATCTATTTTCTTTGTTATTTCTGTAACCCGTTTTACTTTAACCGTTCTTTCACCATTTGTCACAACAGGAGGTTGAACACCGCTAACACTACTAGAAAGTGTATTATCCTGACTATCCTCTATCATCGTTACCTCATGCACATCATTACTTTCTTCTACGCACGTTTCACTTTCCATTTCACGTCTCGTTTTACTTTCAATTACACGTCCTGTTTCACCACCATCTTTACCCCGTCCACCTTCCATAGCCAATTTTTCCAATGCCTCAATCCTCTTATCTAGTTTTTTTAGATACTCCAAAATTTGATTACCAACCTCAGAGGTGACCATATTGTCCTGAACCTTGTCGTCACAAGGTTTCAGTTTTTCCACTGCATGATGTACTTTCCCTAAGCTCGCCTTTACTTTCTCCGTCCCTTTTTCCCACACATTGATCATAGGGGCTGCCGTTGGCTTCCAACTGTTTCCTCCATGTTCCTCTTGCACAATTTTTCCTTGCTGCGAGGATACATCTATCCTGCTTGTAGGACCCGTTCTAGTCTCTTTCAGATGAGGCTTCATGGGGCATAGAGAGGAACCAGCATTGTGGCTGCCTCGACAGTTGCAACAAAATGGGATAATCTTTTCACTTCTTTCAATCTTGACTCTACACTCTCGCGAGTCGTGATTTTTCCCACAATACCGACACCTGGGGTCAAACTGGCATTTCCATGCCATATGTCCCCAACGTGAACACTTCATGCACAGTATAGGCTCCTCAACGTATTTTGCAACGTTCCTATAGCCTAGTCCTTGCACAAAAATTTTCTCCGGCGCCTCACCCTTTACCAAGGCAACAACCTGGCTTCGTTTGTCACCACGAACACTGTTCCTCTTGGCCCAGACAACATTATCATTGTTAAGAAGAAGACAGTCAGGATCCAAATAAGTTGGAAACTTGAAAACTATGATCTTTGTGTGCAACATACCTTCTTCTGGAGGAACCATCACTACATTCTCAAATCCAACCGTCGTGAGGCGTTCCACGGCCTGTTCAGTCCCAACTGTTATGTAGGGCCGGTGAAGACCCTCCTTGAAAAGTGGTTCGTATTCCAAACATTGTTTAGCCAAACGTAGTCACTCTCACTGTCTCGTGGTGTAGTTAGTAAGACACTCACCTGGCGTTTCAATAATCGAGAGCACTTCCTCCTGGAATCCCTGCAGTATGGTCAGTTCCCTGCTGGTTGCTTGCTAAATTATTGTAATGACCTTAATATCCGAATAGCCAGAATATTCGTATCCTGGCCGGGGAGGATTTATTGGGCGTCAATCCTTAACTGTAGCCTCTGTTTACCCAACAGTATAATTGGTTGTTAAACTATTTGGCGGGTCGTATTCCGGGGAACAAGAGGATTAAGGACTTGTCCGAAACGCTATGCGTGCTACTGACTTAACAACAATGTAAGAACTCTTGTATATATAGCAAGATATTACATGTCTTATTGTTAACAATTCCCAAAATAATTCGATATCCTATTTGCAGCTGTTTATCTCACTATTTATGTAATAAAATGTCTTTTTTTTTTAGGTGGATAGGGGCCACATCTCGACCCTCAGTAGGGATTGGGCATAAAAATTACCACAGCCAAACAGACAACAGCAAAACCCATCGATGCAATCAAAGTCAATTACAGCTCACACTGTAATGCAAATGTTCCTTTCGTGATCCAGCCTGAGCATCGAATTGAAATGGGAATCCCTTTACAGTGAATGTTTTGTTACAATACGCCCCAGCAGGTAGAAGGGGGCAGCAGAAAATTGGCCAAACTATCTTGCGTAGCATTGATTTCATGATGGGCTTAAGTTTGTTGCACTGATGACTTTCATATCCAATATGATGAGATCCAACCTCCCCCTCCCTTATCCTTCAGCCCAAGCACAAAACACATCCATGGGCAAACTTTTCTGGCAGGTGGTTCAGTGAACTAAACAGGACTCTTTCACCGTGGGTGTTTTTGTTGCATGCTGCCTCAACAGGCAGGAGAGGGACACACAAATTGTCCATAACCATCTGAGAACAATGTACAAATACCCACTTGCCACATCAAGGCAACACCCACGAGGGGGCAGGGGGGGGGGGGGAGGAGAAAAACTCAGACAAATTCAATATATTTGATTAATAAGATAGGAAATTTAAAAAATTCACACATACCTGGATTATATGCATTGTTTACTCTTTAGATTTTCAACTGAACATTCAATTCTCTTCAAAATGCAGACAAGATTCTTTTCATTCTTTTCAATATTCAATAAAATATTTTTTTGTTAAATTCAATACAACATTTTTAATGCAAAAAAACTTAACAATACTTCTTTGCACATTTAATAGTTTACCTGAATATTTTATTCAACAGTAAGCATATTTTATCATCAATATTCAAGATAATTATACCCCCTCTTGTCTATAATGCGCTTGTAAACCTACTTCCCTACGAATACAGCCCAGCTCCTGTGCCAGGCAAGTCCACTACGGGCTCACCATAGCCCGTGCTACTTGGAACTTTTTGTTCCGAGTACCTGATTCCAAAACATCATCAACAACTTCCCTACTTCACTATGCATCTCTTATGACACTTGTATTGATCTCGTTCAGATGCACTTTTTTTAAATGGTTTGCATTCAATCGTCACCTTATCAGTCACTTCCTGGCAATGCTGTAATTTCCCTTATCTTCTTGCTTTAATCTTTACTTCATCTAATACCATCCTCATAATTCTGTAGAATATTTATAATCAATTCCATAAAACTAATGCAAAACTTTATTGTTTATATTGCAAATGATATTAAGGATAAAATATTAATAATATATTTGTTTTAATCCATTAACAATTGAACACCTAATATTTATTTATGCTTTACCAGAAATGCCTGGAAGAGAAAATCTGTTAGCTTCAGAGGATATTTCTAAAAATAATTGTATACATAAAACTCTAATGTACGGAGGAGCTCAATCCACTTCACAGTACTGTAATTCAGTTGTGGTGTGTGGTCAGGGGTTCATGGAAGATCAGTACACTGGGGTTCATGAAAGATCAGTACAGTCAGTTGAAGCCAACAGTAAGCAAGGCACACAGAGGACATGGACATCAAATTTCTTATAAATCACCATATATTCTATACAATATTATTTACTTTTAATAAAATATAAATGCAAGTACCCAATATTTAAACATAGCTACAGATTTTTTTTAAAGCTGACAGCATAAAATCATCATTTATTGTAATAATCGCTACCATTTTATGATTTCAAGAGACATGCATTACAATAGGCTTATGGATATTTGCATACACAAGCAAGGATCCCATAGAAATTTGCATGTGCATTAATTATGACTATTTTTAGGTGTGCAAGATTAATATACTCAATAAATTACGTACCGGTATATACATATTAGTGTATATACATTCTGACTTAAGTATCCTTAAGCAATAAATCCAAAAACTGCTAGGGCTAATCCTAACTCCATACATTTTGGTCTGAGCATAATCCACATACTCTAGAAATAGTATCACCAACTAGACAAAATCTGCAAGGCTCTATACAAGGCAGAGCCGGGGTTATTCACACTGAGAACATTCAAAGTCTGTCTTGACAATCTAAAATTCACCTTCATCCAGGCAAAATCTGTGTAATTTACATAAGGTATACCGAGCAATGGTTATCCCTAACAGACTGGCTTGGGTTTCATATCCCAATACAGTGTACCACAAAACTAAAACTACAATGGCTCAGAATTTGCAAAACTTGCTTGTACTGCATGTATGCGTGTGTCTGTGTATGTGTAATTACCAAAAGAGTAGTTACAGGATGACAGTTATGTTTTTGGTGTCCCGTCTTTCCAGTACTGTCATATGATAGTTTAAAACTGCTGACACTTTTGGAATCCACCTCACTTAACTTGTTACATCCATCTATGACTATTTGCAAAAGAAAACTAATATACTTTTAGCACCTTTATTTTTTAAGTGCCAAGAGGACATGGCTTGAATCTATGTCCTTTTGTTCTTGAAGTTGTAGGTTTAAAAAATTCCTCTGTCAATTTTGCCAATTCCTGTTACTATTTTGTTTGTAGTGATTATATCACCTTTTTTTCTTCTATCTTTTAGCTTTGACATATCTAGCCATATCTTTAGCTTTGACATATCCTGCGTGCCTATAGCCTCTCATCGTAGCTCTTGTTTTTCAGTTCTGGAAGCCCTTTTGTAGCTTGCTTTTGCACAGTTTCCAGTTTATCGATATGCTTCTGGAGATATGGGTACCATACAACTGCTGCATATTCCAATTTTGACTCCCCAAAATCATTAAAAGTTTTTTAATATTTCACTATCCATATATAAATGTATGCACAACTGTGCATATACATGTGTATGTGTTTTGGTGGGTTTTATTTTTACCTGTCTGCAATGTGTATGTGTTCTCAGCATGTGTGCATGCTAAACGTATCCCTGCAGCGTGTGTGTATGCAGAAGACTATTGTATAACAAATGTCTTTCCTAAGGTGAATATACATGCTAAATGATTTGTCACAAGTGCCTGTTAATTCCCAATGCTAGATTTACTGTAAATAATGTAGAAAAAGAGAAAGGCAAACTATTATACAAGCATGAGAATGTAAAGAGCTTCTGAAAGTCTATCATATAAGATAAACAAGTTTTTGTATTTGTGATTATATACATGCTTGTTTATGCAGTTGAACCCCAATCTTATACAGGAAATATTCCCTGTCATATGAACAGTTCTGAGTAGGTTATTTTTATATGTAACATTAAAAAAATAATAGGTGGTGTTCCATGAGTAAGAACTTTATTACATAACTTAAATAATACCGAACACGTACTGTATTTTAATCGTATTGACACAAAATACTGCAAAGCAACAAAGTCTGATGCAAAGCTGTGTTGATGGAATTGGGCAATACTAACACTTAAAACATTAGCAATTTTTAGGATGTTGCTGGGTAGGCAAAATTTGTATTACTCTTGCCAAAATGAATATTGATGCACTAGTACCAAGCATTATATATTATGTTTCTTAGGGATTAATTTTTTGGATTAATAAGCTATTTCTTAATTTGGCATAGCTATTTAAATCAAATAGTTGGGATGGCCTAACAAGTCGAAATTCAATACCTTTTCATTCTTAGATTTTTTAACGATGATCTGCTTTTTACCAAACTCGGTGCTTCAAAATGAACGCGATATACATAATTTGCGTTATTTGTTTCTTGCAGTAATACTCTTGAATTTCTTAGTTTTTGGTTATAAGATATGTTGGATCATAAATACAATAGAAACAATGATGGGCGTGTCTAAATCACTGTGTACGATGGTGGAATTACTTTATGCAGGCTACAGTAATCTAATCAATTGGTACATGGTACAGCTGTGTAACTGGTACAACCAGATCTGTCACTACACCCCAGCTCTGCCCTCCTTCCTCCACTGCTACTGGAGCTTGCAACTGCTTAGCGCATAGAATGATGCCATCATTAATAACATCATGTATATGACACTTAAAATCACTGCAAACCAAATGTCCATCTCATTTGATCTCAATATTGTGAATCCCCCCACACATGTAAATTCATTTTATTAATGTGAGCCTAATTGCAAGCTTAATACATCCATTCCTTCTCAGGGCCTGCTTGCAGTTACTTTAGGTTCTCAACAATGCAACAAAGATAACATGAGGAAAATCCTGCTATAGTACCTAGAACTTGCATCACCCTGAAAACCTACATAGGTTTGATTATTAATCGTATAAAGTATTTTAGTGGGTCAATATATATATGCGGCATAGGTTAAGACTGTATATTCGGAGTTCAACTGTACTTGGATGTAGTAACACTAAGCAATAGAAAATTTCAAGCGTTATTGCAATGTGTTGTTAACAATTCTACTTCAAAATATTCCACATCACAAATTAGTCTAATTTTATGATTAAATATGGGTCATTTCTCTCATTCAGTAGTCTCAAAACAGATTTGATATTCAGCCAAGATAGGAGGAATTAACATTTCAAGAGAACAGGAGCAGTATAGCCTAAAGTTTATCAGAATGGATTATACACAGAGCAACACTTTATTAAAGCTGTAACTGAACATCCGAACCCTGAACTTTTATACCAACAGGATGCTAAAGCATAATTATTTATTTATCAATTAATAATCAGTATCTTGATAAATATGTTCAGTCACTTAGCTCATCACTTAAACTGAATTTTTCACTTTCAGAGGTTAAATCTGAAGCAGAACTCACTTCAATGTCCGAGTCAGAGTCATCACCTCCAACAGCACCTCCCATCGCAGCTGCTGCCGCTTCCTTCTTCTTTCTTTTCTTCTCTTTCTTAAGTTGTGCTCGTTTTGTATACATATCAATAATTCTCTGAACTTCCTCTTGTTCAGTCACTGGATCAATTGCCTTTCCACCTTCTATTTCCAGGTCACTATCAAAACTTTTACTATGTCTCTCTTCATCAGAAGAGCAACCTTTTCCTCCGCTTGCTCCCTTGGACTTTTTCTGCCGATCTTTTTTCTCTTTCTTTCTTGTAGCTTGAGCCACAGCTCCTGCTAATTCTGGATCAGCTTGCAGATCACCCAAAGCCTTCTCAGCAGAGGTCTGCACTTCCTTTTCTGTAGCTTTCATTAGTGCCTCCACCTGAAAACAGATTCATATACTGTACTATATTACACTGTGACTATGTTATTTACACATTTGGTCCAAATTTGTATAGTTTATTGCACATAAATCAACAGAAATGTACATACAGTACATGTTGTACAGCACAGTATATACATACATAAACATATATACTGGTATGCAAATACCTGTATACAACACACTGGTACAACATGTACAAGTAACCACAAGGAAAGAAAAATCTGTTTGTATACTACTAACATCTTCAAGAAACACACATTACTCCTTGAAAATGTGTCAATACCCAAAAGTGCTCAGTGTTCCATTTCTTTTGCTGATGGTTATTTGTATACACATGCATAATTAAATCATATGTTTGCAATTATTCTTGCATATACACCAATGGTATATAAGTATGTATGCAGTGTATAGCTCAATATAAGATTCTAACTATTGATAAAAACATATAAATAAGAAATCAATTTCATAATTATGTTATGAAAGCACTTAATGCAACTAAAAAAAAATCACTATTTTATAAACACTTACAATATACTGTAAATATGGTACATACAGTAAATCTTAACTATATGACATCTGCAGGATGGTAGTAATGTATACTGTACTAGATTTTTGTTGTATTACACAAGCATACATTACATGAAATATAAGAACTTAATGTTTGCAATCAGAAATTGTCACTCATTAACTAGGAGGGTAAAGAGTGAGAACTAATCACAGCACTATGGTAGAAAATTGCCTACACAGTACTGTTGCTAGGATAAAAGTAACAGTTTAGGTAATAAATATCTAAAGATGCACTTAACACTGAAGGTACTAGATTCTTGTACATGGTTTGGCAAAGCTAATGGATGCATGTATGAGAAGCATAATTGACATTTTAACTCATTTTCTGCAGTGTAAGAATTTGTCCTACTGAAATGGGCACATCAGATGTATCACATACATTTCTGCAAACATTTCAACAGCACCTGTGTGTTAACTTTACGTGACCAAGTGACAGCTTAGCCAATAACCTACCACCACATGCTCCGTTGAGTAGCTGATCACAGCGTGAATGTTGCCTTACCTTTCCTAAACTTATTTCCACTTCACAAAGAAACCACAATAGCATGATATATCAACGAAAATCATTTTGAGGCAATGGAGTGACTTGAATATGCATTCTGGTGAACCACAGACACCTGGCCTAACCATTGTGGCCAAGTCAGTCAGTGCATGTGTCTGGGAATCACCAGGATACTGGTGAGAGTCACTCCATTGCCTCAAGATTATTTCCACTAATGATGCATGTTGTGTGTTGTAGATGGAGCTGGGATAAATATATTGTACAATAGTTCACATACAGGAGCTTACTAGATGATTTGTTATGAAGTCTTTATTTCATTTCATTGTTGACCCAGAACCCAACAAAAGTGAAGGACTTCATGCCAGCTGAAGATTCACTGTTAGATTTCCAAGGCAACAGAGTAAAATGTGTTGAATTGTTTGATACTTTTCAGTGCACTTTGAGAGTCTACAAACAAGATGTAGGTTTCCCAGGTGCTGCAAGAGATATTCCATTGCCAACAGAATAGCAAATCAACTTTACCATGAAAATACCAATTGGCCTTATCAGAAGTTATGTATAGAATTACCTCTAAGCAAGTGACACCAAATCGCACCTCACTTAAGGTTTCAGAGCCCTAGGTACAATCGTGTAATGAAACTGCATGTCATTGACCATGTTAGTTGAAATAAAATTCTGAGATAAGAATCAGAGATTTGTGATGTTCTGATGGGTGTGAGGGTTCTGCAGAATTGTAAACAACTTTTGAACACCAATAACATAATAGATGCCCAAAAACTAGCAGCTTTACCATAAAGAAACTTTGTTTAATTTGTGTTTGCATTTCACCTGAATTTTTATCCATATATTAATGTCAGAAATGTGGGTTATCAAATGTAGTAAAATAGATTTTGTAATATCCTATTTCTTATTTAAATAAATCTGAATGCTATACTACTTGTAATGTTTATTTACTTACTTCATCCATACTCATATCATCAAGATCTTCCCCCAGAGTTGCCTCAGCTCTGGCTTGTGGTTGAGCAAGATACACGGATGACGGTAAAGCCATGGCACCCTGAGCCTGACCACGGCGAGATTCCTCCCCTCTAAGACGTGCCAAGCGGGTCTCTAGTTCATCATCTGGATTAGGGACCGAAGCTTCTAGTGCTAACTCATCCATTACCTGAAAATAAGGATTAATTTTGATCTCGGTACAGTACTGCAATACAAAGAGGAGTAGAGTAAATGTAATCTTTTAATCTAAATGTAATATTTTAATGTAATTAACACCAAACTTAGAAAAAAAAAAAAAGGCAAACTCAAGTAAGAATTTTTGCAGACTATTTTTATGAATCTTTGCAGACTTTTTTTTGTATGCACATAGTGAGCTTAATCAACTGCAGGCCTGAAAACAAAGTCCAAAACACTACTGCCGTTAAGAAAGCAGGAAATGCAGCTGATATCAGGGAAGATAACCCTAAAACACTTGATAAAATATCTGGCCAAGGACATGCAAGATGGGCAGCATTAACACAATCACATGTCCATTATATCCATAATACACAATGTCAATATGTAAATTGTTATATTTTTGTTTTGTAAATACAGGTATTTACACCACAGCCACAGGGGGTCAGACTCAAGACCAAATGGATAACTTTTGTGGATAACGTGTGTATATCTCTGGAAGAATATTTCCAGCGATAACGTATTTGTGAATATGTTATCGATGCTTGTGGTAATAAATTAGTTATACAGTCGTAGCAATTTCTAATATTAGCTAATAAATTTTATTTATAATACATAGCAAGTACTGTGTAATAAAGAGTATAGATAGTCAATGGACATGCAAGTTCTTGGCGGTATCAAGCCAGCAACATAAACTGCTACCAAACACTACTTCATACAGTAGTTGAAATCAACAATTACGTAAGTAAAATTGTGTAACTTTTTTCCTATCCTTTTCATGAAATGTTCTAGTGCACAATTTTTTTTTTTTGGGGGGGGGGGGGGGGGGGGGGGCAGTGAAATTTACACAAATAGATGCCTGAAAATGTTTCTGAAGTGTAAGGGGTAAATAAGAAATATATCCTTGGATAAAAATCAAGTTAAAGGTGTTACATAAAGATTCAAATGCATGCCAATAAAAAGATAAGCAACTGTACAACTTCGAAACAAATGTACCTGTGACAACAGACCATCAGCTTTTTCAGCTTGAGTTCTCGTATCAGGAGGCTGATGAATAGCACCTTGAGGTTTAGTGTAGTGATCTGCTGGAAGACCTTTCAAATGTGCTAGTCTGGAAGCCATTTCTTCTTCAGTTGGTAAACTATCCATGTGGGACTGGCGGAGATTCTGAAGACGCTGAGCAATTTCTAAATCAGCCTGAGGGAAATGCAAGAGAAAGTACTGTATATAACTAAAATGTACCAAAATGATTCGACACACTCAAATATTGAACAATCATAATGGTAAATGAGCGAACACTACACTAGGAATTTCACAATAGTTAAAGAATATATCTAGATATAGGTGTTCTATTCATTAATTTAATAAAGCCCAAAATAAACTTTCATTACAGTAATCCTACTGTTTGCTGCGTATCATAAAATACTGTCAATGAGTTCTGTAAAACAGAACACAACATAGCAGGATTGAAGCAATTCGATGGAAAGTTATTCCTCTATCATTTTATTAGCATTCCAGGGGACAGTGAAATTTTGATTCAGTCAATCTCTGGGAGGTAGAGACAAATGGGCAAAAAGTTTCTTTCACCCTGATGTCCCTATTCACCTAGCAGTAAATAGGTACCTGGGAGTTAGACAGCTGCTACGAGCTGCTTCCTGTGGATGTGTGACAAAATGGAGGCCTGGTCGAGGATCGGGCCGCGGGGATGCTAAGCCCCGAAATCATCTCAAGATGACCTCAACATAGGAACACACACTTTCCATGCCAGATTTACTCACCCGATTCAACAAGCAAAAGTTCATTGATAATATATATATATATGTATATACATTTATACAGTATTCAAATTTAACGTAACACAACATTCCTGAGCCCATTGTTGATGTGACGATGTGCACTAAATTTTGTAACTAGCTCATCAAAACTAACTTGCTTAGTTAAATGAATTTTGAGGTTCAGTCCCTGAGCACATTATGTGCCTCTATAACCGTTTCCACTACCACGCACATGATAATTATGGGGTGCATAATAAATTAACCAAATTAACATTCTATATAGTGCCATACTTTAGAAAGATTGGAAATTCCAGCCGATGGTCCAGGGTAGATTGTGACTGGTGCTTGCTGGGGAGGTGATATCATCTGTAAACTCTTTTCCAATGAGGTTGTCGACTGCTGCTTCTTCAACGGATTTCGGTCCTGGTCACTCATTGTCTCTGATTCACATATGCCTCTCTGAAAGTATAAATTTTGTTAAATACTATAGTGTACAGTACATCATCATTGACATATGGTAGATACTAGAATGTACAATATTTTTTTTTTTAAGTAATATTGTTGGAATCCACTTTTTTTTGTTCATGCAAATATAGCATACTGGAATCCATGCAGAAATAATTAGTGTCTTGTACAGTAGTGATGTCCAATGCAGTAAATTCCCAACCAAATGGTCCTAGGTTTACTTCCAGGTAAATCGCATAAATTGGGTAAATGATATCTTTTTCTCTAGTTCAATTTCAAATTAAGCTATTATTGTAAGGATCTGTACAAATTCTAATTGAAATAGTTTGATTCTGAATTTGACAACTGCAATATTTTTAAAATCATTGATAAATGAAGTGTATAAATCTAAATCTTGATTATACAGTTAATAAGTACAGAAATTACATGTTATGTTATTGTTATGACTCATAAGTAAATAACTTAATTGTAAATTTGTACAAACTAACACAACTATAAATGTACAAACATTTATGAATAAAGTACAGTTACTGAACAATTTCAGTTGCGATTTGCATCCTGGGTAAGGCCGGTAACAACCACGACATTTCATTCCCTCGATAAGCCTCAATACAGGCTTACTATCCCCAACACCCAGAATTATATGCAATCCTATTGGTACGGATGAATATAGCGGTACACAAACAGGAAACAAAAATTTACTGGAGAATTAAATCCTCACACTGTACTTAGGAGTAAAAAGCACTCTGGTCCTCTTGCAGTCGGGTCAGAGTTCAATTCCTGCAGCAGGACAAACATTCGTGTACAACTTTTCTTACATTTATTACCTTTGTTCACTTAGCATGAAGTAGGTACCTGGGAGTTAGGCAAGTGTTGTGAACCGCATCCCGGGGAATAGTCAATAGTAGGCCTAATGGGACCTCAATTAGTCTTAACGGGCAACTTCTCTTCAACTACCGGACACCAAACTAAGAAGCGAGCCACAATATAGGCTAAAATAAATTCAATTAAATTCCTAAACAGTACATGCAGACAGCAAGAACTTCAATAAAGATTGACTTGCAAAGCATACAGCTAAATACAATAGATTCAAATGAAGCCATACAAGGTAGCCACAGTATATGTAAGCAATAAATGTTTCCATAAAAACTTACAGGACTTAAAATATGCAACAATTTAATCAATTCAAAGGAATTACAAAGTAATCTTGCATTAATCAAAACAAAAATTTCACAAATCATTACTATACAGCAAGCAATGATTTCTTCAGACTTTAATTAAAACCCGGTATTTCCATCAATGTTATAGCTGCAAAGTAACAATAAAAGCACTCAAATATAGTCAGTTTTACATCATAAAAGGGTATTAAACTATTCTCAAAACCTAGATAATAATATCTTGAATTATAATCTCCATATCCTCAAAAACCCCTTTGTCACTGCTGGGATCCAGATGATTCTTATCATCACAACCTCACTTTACTTCAGTCATCAATGTCATCGATAAACCATCAACAGTAGAATACTGACGCACTTTGTTATCTCAAACTCCTTATAATATCCCTTAATAACACCGTTCTCAAACCCTTTAATATTAACGAGTTCTTTTCCCCACATCTACACACACATATTAAACTTGAAGCTCACACTCTAGCCATGTCTCGGTGGCCTTTGAGCCTCCAATTACGGCAGGAATAGCTGTCAATATCAACAAAAAAGATGGGAATATACCCCAAAAGGAGTGAATCAGAGATTGTGTGTATGTATACTTCTCTATAGCAGCCTCGGTGTGGTGTGTGGTGGTGCCGCACCCGGCCGCCAGGGGCGCCACCACCACACACATGGCTATACTCCTATTATATTATTGTTCAATAAATCCCTGAACTATTTGTTTAACAGATCTCTCACCCTGTCCATGGAGGACAGAAGAAAATGTATATATGCTGGTTAGCATTGTAAATGTGCGGCCACGTCTGTGGTAGAAAATAGTAATAATAATTAAAAAAAACTATTATACTACACCTATTTTCTTCTCGGGGACAGTATACACATAGTATATTTCAGTATACAAATATACACACATACAAATACATTGGTATTTGTATACAAAATATTCACTAGTACAAATAGCGTTCCAGGCAAAGTACGCATAGCGTTTCGGGCTAAATGCTATGCTATGCTAAATGCTATGCTATGGAAATAAATGCCGTTTGTTCTCTTTACGTTCCATAGATGTATCTCGTTGATTTTAAGCTCGTTTTAGAATGTTGTTTACCAGAAATTTTGCTCTTTTTGGGTAATTTTAACTATAGACATCATACTTTGGTACAACTATCATACTGTGGCCGTGTTTTAGATCCATTTATTATTTCTCTCTCCACCCCAATCTCAGATAAATACTGACAGTGCATCTTGTGTTTATTTGTGCACCCAATCTACTTTCTGTATAGATCCAGGGTTGCCAGATCCAAATTGCTGAAAGTAGCGATCAAGCTGACGGTCAAAAAGTAGCGAATTTGTAATAAGAGTAGCCTAATTTTTTGTTTAGTGACGGATACGGGTTTCAAGGTAATATATTTTGACATATAGAGTACACTACACGATGTTAATTATTTTATTAATATTATTTCTGCACACACACACACATATATAATATATTTACACATATGCACATTACATATTTTCTTTCTCCACCCCATATATATATATATATATATATATATATATATATATATATATATATATATATATATATATATATATATATATATATATATATATATATAATTTTTTAACCGAAAAGGGGTACCACCTCTGGTGCAAGTGTAGGGACCCATAGCCTCGGAGAAGAAAATAATGAGTACCCAGAGAAGACCTTGTGGATCCTGTGTGATCCTCACTGTACACTTTGATATTTTCTTCTCCTACCATTCCTATTCTTTTAGTATGTGTGTATATATATCAAACTTTATTTTAAAATTTCATTACACGCAAAGGGTAATCCACAACCTAAAGCCCAAGTGACACCCAAAGAGCTCGACCAGTTGTGTAACCGGAGCCAGACCAGTTGTGTAACCAGAACCCGACCAGTTGTGTAACCAAAGCTTGACCAGCGGTGTAACCGGAGCCCGACCAGTTGTGTAACCGACGCCTGACCAGTTGTGTAACCGGACCCCGATCAGTTGTGTAACCGGACCCCGACCAGTTGTGTAACTGGACCCCGATCAGTTGTGTAACCGCAAGCCTAGCATGAATGAATCGAACAAACAACGTCCGAAGCACAAACATACACGAACCGAAGCCCGACTATGCACAACCTGAAGCCCAAGTAATACCCCCAAAGCCCAACCAGTTTTGTAACAGGAGCCTGATCATTTGTGTAACCGGACCCTGACCAGTTGTGTAACCGGACCCCAACCAGTTGTGTAAACTTAAGCCTAGCATGTATACATCTCATCCAACCCTCACAAAGCTAAACAGTCCCAGAGCACAACCAAACTCCATTCCTAGCTCGACTAAACAAAAATCTCATTAGCCCAACCTAAAACCCTCCACTTGCCCTAGACACCAACTATTGACCCATAGCAAACAATTGAACTACATACAAAAAAAGAAACCCGAATTTCTAGCAAACATATAAACAGAGCCCTAGCAAACAAACCTGGAGCAATAGTACACAAACAACCACTGGAGCACAACCATGTACGAGCTGGAGCACAACCATGTTCGAACCGGAGCACAACCATGCACAACCCAAAGCCCAACAAGTCACACCCCTGGAGTTATGTAATCGAAACCTGACAAGTTGTGTAACCGGAGCCCGACCAGTTGTTTAACCGCAAGCCTAACGTGAACAAACCAAACAAACAAAGTTTGGATCACAACCATGCACGAACCGAAGCCGACCATGCACAACCCAAAGCCCAAGTGACACCCCCGGAGCCCGACCAGTTATTTAACCGGAGCCCGACCAGTTGTGTAACCGGAGCCCGACCAGTTATTTAACCGGAGCCCGACCAGTTGTGTAACCGGAGCCCGACCAGTTGTGTAACCGGACCCCGACCAGTTGTGTAACCGGACCCCGACCAAGTTGTGTAACCGGACCCCAACCAGTTGTGTAAACTTAAGCCTAGCAAGTATACATCTCATCCAACCCCCACAAAGCTAAACAGTCCCAGAGCACAACCAAACTCTATTCCTAGCTCGACCAAACAAAAATCTCCTTAGCCCTACCTAAAACCCTCAACTTCCTCTAGCCACCAACTTTTGAGCCATAGCAAACAATTGAACTATATACAAAAAAAGAAACCCAGATTTCTAGCAAACATATAAACAGAGCCTTAGCAAACAAACCTGGAGCACTAGTACACAAACAACCTCTGAAGCACAACCATACACGAATCGAAGCCTGACCATGCACAACCCAAAGCCGAAGTGACACCCCCGGAGCCCGACCAGTTAATATAACCGGAGCCCGACCAGTTATTTAACCGGAGCCCGACCAGTTATTTAACCGGAGCCCGACCAGTTGTGTAACCGAAGCTCAACCAGTTGTGTAACCAGACCCCGACCAGTTGTGTAACCATAAGCATATAGCAAGTAAACATCTCATCCCCACCAAGCTAAACAGTCCCAGAGCACAACCAAACTCTATTCCTAGCTCGACCAAACAAAAATCTCCTTAGCCCTACCTAAAACCCTCCACTTCCTCTAGCCACCAACTTTTGAGCCATAGCAAACAATTGAACTATATACAAAAAAAGAAACCCGGATTTCTAGCAAACATATAAACAGAGCCTTAGCAAACAAACCTGGAGCACTAGTACACAAACAACCTCTGAAGCACAACCATACATGAATCGAAGCCTGACCATGCACAACCCAAAGCCGAAGTGACACCCCCGGAGCCCGACCAGTTAATATAACCGGAGCCCGACCAGTTATTTAACCGGAGCCCGACCAGTTATTTAACCGGAGCTCGACCAGTTGTGTAACCGAAGCTCAACCAGTTGTGTAACCAGACCCCGACCAGTTGTGTAACCATAAGCCTATAGCAAGTATACATCTCATCCCCACCAAGCTAAACAGTCCCAGAGCACAACCAAACTCTATTCCTAGCTCGACCAAACAAAAATCTCCTTATCCCTACCTAAAACCCTCAACTTCCTCTAGCTACCAACTTTTGAGCCATAGCAAACAATTGAACTATATACAAAAAACAAACTAGCTAGCAAACATATAAACAGAGCCTTAGCAAACAAACCTGGAGCACTAGTACACAAACAACCTCTGAAGCACAACCATACATGAATCGAAGCCTGACCATGCACAACCCAAAGCCGAAGTGACACCCCCGGAGCCCGACCAGTTAATATAACCGGAGCCCGACCAGTTATTTAACCGGAGCCCGACCAGTTATTTAACCGGAGCCCGACCAGTTATTTAACCGGAGCCCGACCAGTTGTGTAACCGAAGCTTAACCAGTTGTGTAACCAGACCCCGACCAGTTGTGTAACCATAAGCCTATAGCAAGTATACATCTCATCCCCACCAAGCTAAACAGTCCCAGAGCACAATCAAACTCTATTCCTAGCTCGACCAAACAAAAATCTCCTTAGCCCTACCTAAAACCCTCCACTTCCTCTAGCCACCAACTTTTGAGCCATAGCAAACAATTGAACTATATACAAAAAAAGAAACCCGGATTTCTAGCAAACATATAAACAGAGCCTTAGCAAACAAACCTGGAGCACTAGTACACAAACAACCTCTGAAGCACAACCATACACGAATCGAAGCCTGACCATGCACAACCCAAAGCCGAAGTGACACCCCCGGAGCCCGACCAGTTAATATAACCGGAGCCCGACCAGTTATTTAACTGGAGCCCGACCAGTTATTTAACCGGAGCCCGACCAGTTGTGTAACCGAAGCTCAACCAGTTGTGTAACCAGACCCCGACCAGTTGTGTAACCATAAGCCTATAGCAAGTATACATCTCATCCCCACCAAGCTAAATAGTCCCAGAGCACAACCAAACTCTATTCCTAGCTCGACCAAACAAAAATTTCCTTAGCCC